AAAACAAAACCCCATCCCAATTGGTATGAGATGCAACTGTTTTCTTCATACTTTCAAGAAAGGATAAAAATCAATGGAGAGGATGCAGTTGATATAAAACTATTGTCTTGTGAACTAAAAAAAGTTATTATAAAGCATACAATTATTCATATTACAGTTTCTTAACCACAAATGAGAAAGCCAAGTTAGTGATGGCAACTACCTCATTCTTAGAACTTGTAAATCAACTAGGGTTTCACGGTAGTTGTCTGGAGGAAAAATCTAAAATCTACCTATATTGAATAGATTTAAAATTCAGTATATTTGTCTAAAAACAAACTAATGAAGCTCCAAAATTACCATGTTAGACAAAAAGGAGCAAATATTTATAAAAGCAAGATAAAAAAAAAAAACTGATAGAGGAACTATAAGAAAGTACTGGATAAACAAAAATATTCATATTACAGTTTCTTAACCACAAATGAGAAAGCCAAGTTAGTGATGGCAACTACCTCATTCTTAGAACTTGTAAATCAACTAGGGTTTCACGGTAGTTGTCTGGAGGAAAAATCTAAAATCTACCTATATTGAATAGATTTAAAATTCAGTATATTTGTCTAAAAACAAACTAATGAAGCTCCAAAATTACCATGTTAGACAAAAAGGAGCAAATATTTATAAAAGCAAGATAAAAAAAAAAAACTGATAGAGGAACTATAAGAAAGTACTGGATACTACAGTAATTTTCAATCTAGTCTCGACTATTAAAGCAGCTATTTTGATTAAAGAAGTTATCCATGCCAGTCTCCTAAATTCAAATGAAAAAGAAGATTTTTTAGTCAAATGTTAACATTTATCACACACACAGCACACAGCTGGTACCACGACTACAGACACTTTACTGAAAATCACAAAATGTACACATTTTATTTTATTTATGAAATTGCTTTCATCCGAAATCTCATTTAACAGCTTAAATAAATATTTAGTACATTGATAGGCCAGAGGTCACAAACTGGGCCAAATTCAATTTGCATATATATTTTAGTTGAATAGAATATTACAAAATTATGTAGAATCTTTAGGGTGAGAGTCCTTACCACATTTTCAAGCCTTTTCTGACTAGCATCTGAAAGCATTTGCTATGCAAAAGTTCATCCTGATACATATATGTTTTCTAAGTGGTCGTTAAGTTACTTGGTAAGTTGGCAAAAGACATTAGATTCATCTAGGATCCAGGCAAAAGTAAAATACTCACAATTCAGATGACCTCCACATCTTATCTTTTTCCTCTAAATTTGACTTAGCATTTATTTGAAGGTAAAGACGGCTTATCAGGAAAAAACTAAATTACGGTACTGCTGCCACTTTCCTATAGTAAATGCCAATGATACTTTACCAAGTGTTCTCACATATTTACCTTCCTATATAATTTTGTTTACACAGTTAATTTCCATTTCTATAACTTAACAGTGGAATCCACTAATCCTGTTGAGCCCTACTATTTACTAGTGCTAGAAGCACCAGTCTTAATGTACTAAATACTCTCAAAGTCTTCAAAGAAATAATACTGGGTTCAAAATTCTTAGGCCTTGATTACTTCTTAAGTACTATCCAGGTACTCCTCTTAAGATCATAGTATTAACTGATCTTATTTCATATGGATCTTTAGTTTCTTAGATCTGAATTTCATTGTTTTTCAGAGGGGTAGAAAGCAATTTATATTAAGAAAATTAAATTTAAAACATTTAAAACTTGGGCTGGCCCTATAACAACGATTAAGTGCTATGTATGGGGAGCTAGATATTCCAAATAGGCGGTCGTGTGCACGCGAATGTGTACGCATACTCATGCATGCCCTGGATTCTGACAGGAGAGAGAAAAGGAAGGATTGCTACATGACCAGGCCCACTGCGGGGGGGGCTCTCTCTCTCTTAAGTAGTACACGTGTACCTTCTGGCATTAAAAAATATATATATCCCATATATGAAGACAAAGAAGGTTTTATTTTATTATGGCCAGAGGTAATGTGTGCACACACACTAGATTGAGGGAGAGAGCAAGAGAAATAGAGAGAAATTCCAACTACAGTAGGCCATGTGAAACTCATCTCCCTTTACACAGTGCACTGGCCCAAGTTCTGTTTTTTTTTTTTTTTTTTTTTTAATTGCCAGCAGGGCATGTGCTGGCCAGAGTGGTGGAAGGAGGGAGAAAAAGAGAAAGCACCCCTCAATGGAGTACGCTTACACTACAATTCCCTTCTCTCCACTGTATCAGGATTTTGGACACTGGACACATACAGATGTGCTGAATGTGTTTTACCCGTTGCTGGGGCTGGGATTTGAATATTGGTAGGCCAATGTGGGATCTAGGTCCCAATGCATAGCACTTAACCACTGTTGAGGGGGCCAGCTAGGAAGCATGCTCTCTCTCTTTTTTGGGAGAGAGATTTTTGCTAATAGTGTACATGCATTTGCTGGAGAGACAGGGAAAGACAGAGAGACAGAAGGAGGGAAAGTGAGAAATCACTCCCTGGGGCCAGGGGCGGTGATGGAAGATGGCCACACTGCAACTCTTTCTCTATTCTCCTCTTAAGATTTTGGGCATGCATGCACACACACCTGGTACAGGTTTCAAACTGCAGGGCCCAGGATTCATCCAGTGTCTTAACCATTATACCAACTCCTCTCCCTAACACATAATTCTTGGATTAAAAAAACCTGCTCATAAGGGCTGGCAGGTAGTGTAGTGGTTAAGGTGCTAGAATCCCACATGGCCAACTATTGTTCAAGTCCTGGATATGGCAGCTTACTTTCTTGCCCTCCCCTCCCCACCATGTGTTTGTCTCTCTCTCTGATCAAATTAAAACAAACAAACAAAAAACAGATGAATAAAATTAAATTAATTCTTTAAAAAAATTTGCTCACTAGAATCCCATTGATTCCTGACTGAACCTTATATTTTCAGCTCTGGTTACAATAATTTCAAAACAATAAGAGCTAAACACTTAAAACCAAATGCACTATTCATGACTACTTAATAATATCAATCAACTCTTATTTACAAGCTCACTGGCAATACTGAATAACTTCTTGAGGTTTCTTCAGCAATCTTGAAGAGTAAGGTTAATGAAAAAAAGAGGAAGGAACTGCTGAAGTTCCTTTGAAAACTCTCCCTACTTCTCAGTGTTTTTTCAATCAACAATGTTTTGAAGCATTCATGCATCTGATAATTATTTTCTAAACAGGAATCACTCATTTAAAACTGCAAAAAACATACCAGAAAGTAATTTAAAAAAACCAAAACAGTATTTATGTAGACTAAAACCCACCAGGAAAAGATGATCTCTTCAGTTAAAACGTAGTGGATGGGGGCCAGATAGTGATAGTGTTAAAATGTGACGCTGAGAGACTGAATGAACCACATGGGAAGGTTCTGGATTAGGGTCTGCAGCCCTCCCCAAGTACTCTGAGCACCCATGATCTGGGGCTGGCTGAAGCGGGGGGGTGGGGTGGGGGGTGTCACAGCATCAAAACCCCCTTGGGGGGTATGTTCTCTCTCTAGCTCATGTAATAACTTAAAAAGTATTAGGGGAATTCTGGGTCTGGCAGGTGGCATGGTGGTTAAAGGTGCTGGACTCCCACATGACCAACTGCGGTTTGAGTCCTGGACCTTGCGGTTTGCTTTTTTGCTTTCCCTTTCTCTCTCTGTCCTGCTCTCACTCTCACTCTGTCCCTCTCTGGTCAAATTAAAATAAATAAATAAAGTTAAATAAAATAATTAAAAAAAATAAAGATGTATTAGAAGAAAGTAGAAGGAAAAAATAAGTAAAAGTATGCTTAATTGACAAAAAAATGAAGCTATTAGCTGGTAAGTTATAGAGTAATATCTTTGACTAACATGCATAGTATTTGTACTAAAATAAGAAATGTTGTACACTGTAAAGATGTGATTAAATGTAAATAAATTACTAAAAATAAAATAATACCTAATAAAAAATTTAGGACAGTTAAAAAGAAAAGTATTAGGGGACTTCTCATATTTTAAATAACTTCAACCAGCTCAGGCAATTCATTCTTCCAAATGGCACGTTTACCATATTTTATATCAAGTAACTACCATGCCAGATGCTGTGCTATAAGGCAAATGCATCTGTCTACCTGGTCAAATAGTCCTTTTTTTTTTTTTTTTGGAGAGGATTTTGCTATAGGGTGTATGTGCTCACCAGAAAGACAGAAACAGAAAGAGAGAAATCACCCTCCAGTGTGGATGGCCACGCCGCCATCCCTCCATTCTCCTCTTGGGGTCTTGGGCATGCACACACACATGCGCCCTGCGTGAGTTTAAGCCACTGGGTCTGGGACTCGAACCACAGTCAACTACATGGGAGTTCAGCAACATAGCTATTACGCCAACTGCTGGTCCCTACCTGTCAAATAGTCTTAATGGTTTTTCTCAGGGAGCAGGTTTGATTCAACAGCAGTAACTCCATGCAAGTTCAATGAGGGTAGTGTCCATGTTTGTCCCCACCCCTACTATATCCTAGCACCTCACACAAGGTAAACACTTAAGTGTTAAATAAATACTGTACATGCTTATATCCTTTCATAAAACTTTCATCCTATTAATGTCTTTGAGTATTTTTATGAGGTGAAGTGTGATATATAAACCCAATTATAATACTGTGCTCAGCCACGTAATAATCAGCGTTAACAGCCAAGATTGAATTACCTATATTAGAATAATTTGATCTCTTATCCACATTTAATACTGTCCTTCAAAACAGGTTACAGACTTAAAGTCTTAGGAAAATTACACTTTTTTACCTTTTTTTTCAAACAATGTACTGTTATCTCAGATATTTTTGGAAACAGGAATCTGGGCTGGTCTTGCACTTAGAACTACACTCATGCTTCTTGAACAGTATTACCGGAAGAATTTTTAGTTTTATTTTAAAAGATCATTACACTTTAGATGAGTTTAAAAAAAAAAAAAAAAAAAAAAACAAAGAACACACACAGTAAAGGTAGATTTTAGGGATTTACTGAAATCCAAACTAGTTACCTTAAGTCATAGGAAAATCTAATCCAATCATTAGAAAAGTAAAAGAACAAAAGGCACAGAACATTTTTCTTTCAAGTTCAATATAAACAATAATTTATCACAGTTCATTTTAAAAAGTGCTAATCCAGAAAATTCTTGACTTAATCAACAACCTAGGGGTCCACCTGATACTCATTTCTGGGACACAAACACTTTTTTTTTCCTTTCTTACAATGTGAAGAATAAATAGGCTATATTGGGAAAAAGTAAAATAACAAATAATAAAAGTTATAAAAAATTTAAAAACTGGTAAAAAGAATTTCATTCATCTCACTATTGTAGCCCATACTTGGTTCATACAGAATATTATTTTTTTGACCATCAGTGGAATTCATTACATACTAAAGATAATACCATATTTATGTACAAATAGATTAATTTTTCCAGTAAGAGCTAATTTTCTTTTAAGAAGATTTCCTACATGTTCACAGTACATAACATCACAGAACACCCATATCTGCCCTAAATGTCTTTGAATTGTTGCATTACAAGATGGAAGTTCATTATGCCTGATAATTTGATTGAGTTTGGACCAAATGTCTTCCAAAGTTTGGTTGTTACAAATGCTGTGTTCTATAGTCCATCTTGCTCTATAAAGAGAGTGCAAATGTAGTGCCTTTAAACTGTCTTGCAATGTTTTAGACAAAGGAAAAATCTTTTCAGTACAGTTATTGCTGGGAAGTGAAACACTCCAAGACCTCCTTTTGTGCTGTTTTCTTCTTTCTGATTGCTTATCCATATTTCCAGAATTAGTCTGTTCATTCAGTGTGTGTGAATGAACTGAATGCTGCTTTTTCAAATTAGGTTGAAACTCCAATAGATCTACTGTACAATCATAACTCTGTGATTTAAAATCATGTTCGGAAATGGTTAAGTATTGTTTTACATCTTCGGCTGCCTCTCCAGAAATCACAGGTGGTAATCTTTTAGGTTTGAGTGGAAGATTGGACCCATCATGTGGAAACCAAGGAATAAATCTTGATAGTGGACGAGTAGGAAAGTCTTGAATTGCTTTTTCTGCAATTTTTGGCAGTTGTGTGGGATCACTTTCATTTGGTCGATAATGTAATATTACTTCTGTAGTCATTCTGCAGTAATCCAGTTACTCTTAATGAAGAGAAAATTTCTTAGCAGAACTCCTCAGAGCTAGAATATAATTTATTATTATAAGACTGTCTCTCTTGCCAAATCAGAGGGAAACAGGACCTAAAGTGGAAGTATTGCAAAGAAAAGATATTGGTAGGGGTAGCCTGAATATAAACAGGAAGAAAAGGAAAAAAAAATCTCACTATAATATTTTACCAACGTGCTGCTGGTAACTGTGAATGAGATCCACAAAGCTGAAAATCCTTTCATCAAAAGAAGGGCTATAAACTAGTTGCCCAGTAAGATCACTTACAGCCTAAAATACCAGTCAACATGTTTAACTCAACAGATATGAAAGACTTTGAAGCATCGATATCAGTAAAAATATTAAGTAACCAATAATAATTTTACATTAAAATGATATAATGGATTTCACCAAGTAAAAGACCACTTAATGATTTTTATCCTTTTTTAAAAGTAAACATCAAAAACATGAGTATGGTTTAACTTTGCATATTTCTTTAGTTTTGCTATAGGGTACGTACGCTCACCAAGAGACAGAGAGAGGAAGAAAGACAGATGGAAAGTGAGAAATAATCCTCAGGGCATGGGGAGATGGCACACTATAATCCTGTCTCCATTCTCCTCTTGGGATTCTGGGTATACAACTACATGCATGAGGCATGATTTTCAAGATGCCAGGTCTAGGACTCAAACTAAATAACCGGCCAGGTGGGATCCAGTTGCCTAGCCTCCATGCTGCCAGCTGGTCATAAATTTACATTTTAATCAGGTTAGGAACTGATTTTGTCATGAAGCCTTTTCTATAAAACTGGGGCAATTGAGACCCTAGAACCATGGCCCCTGAATTCCAATTTGGAGGAGAAACAAAAAGTTCAGGCTCTTATTTTTCCTCTTCATGTTACCTCAAATTAAGCTTCTGATAATGAATTCCAGTCCAGAGCACATAGGTTCAAGAATGAAGCCTTCTGGGATCTGCATGTTAGGATTCCTAATCAGGTCCAAAGTTTTAAGAGTCACAATGCAGGCGTTTTCATATTCTAACTACTTAGAAAATAAGCTGAGGGCTGGCAGGTGGTGCAGTGGTTAAGGGCGCAGGACTCCTACATGGCCGACTGCGGTTTGAATTCCGGACCTAGTAGCTTGCTTTCTCACTTTCCCTCTCTCACTCTATTCCTCTCTGGTCAAATTAAAATAAATAAATAAACTTAAATAAAGTAATTCTTTAAAAAAAGAGAAAAGAAATTGAATTACGTCTCCCTTCAAATCATTAGAAGACTACTTGATGAAGATTCTCTGGCTGCCAGAATGATCATGAGTTGAGACTCCTGTTAAGTAACACGACAAAACCATTTTCTGGTTCTGAAGACTCAGAGTAACCGATCTCATGAGTCCACTGATCTACTGTTAATGTCCACTGATAAACAAATTTGACAACACTAAGGTTCATAAGTAATTGTAATCCTTAATATCTATCATTTTAATATGGATCTAAATGTTGTAACTTTGTTTTAAGAATAATACATTTTTTCCCCATTTTCTTACACTTTCACATTGTATATGACATTGAGAATTCTCTCATTGTTGTCTGAACTTATTCAGTGTCACAGTCAAGGAAAAACTGAGGTTGTGATAAAATAAAAATTTCCCTCTTCATGAATAACAAGATATTAACACTTCACTTTTTTTTTAAGGGAGATTTTTGCTATAGGGTACATGCACTCACTGGAGACACAGAGAGAGACAGATAGAAAGCAAGAAATCACCTCCTGGGGGGATGGCCACACTGCAATCCCTTCTCCTCTAGGGATTTTGGTCATGTACACACATACACCCAGCATGAGTTTTAAGCCAACAGGTCCGGATCTCAAATCACAGTTCACTATTTGGGACTCCAGTGAAGTAACCATTACACCATCTGCTGGTCCCAACACTTCACATATATTTTTTAAAAGGAACCTTAAATGATCACTTAAATTGATATATTTGTCATTCAACATCAGTAAAATTAAAACTTAGTAAAATTCTTGATTAACCCTAGTTAATCCCCAACTCCCTTAAAATGCCACAGGGCAAGCACATGTATGTGTGTCAAAGACAGAAAGCACCTCTAACAGGGTCTGGTCCCATAGTAATCCCTTTTTCTCCCTGTTCTTCTCATCAAGATCCTGCGTACACATTATAAATGTGTTTTTTAAGCCTCCAGGGCTGAGGCTCAAACCCTGGTTGGCCATGTGGGATTGGCTTCTTCTGCTGCCTGTTAAAGCACCTGATCTTTTAAGCTACCTAGATACTCTTTACTAGATTTATCTTTTTTTTTTGGATAATAAAGCATAAGGGTCAGCTGGTGGCATGGTGGTTGAGGTAGCTAGAATCCACATCACTGACTGCTCAATTGGAGTCCCAGACACAGTCACTTAAACAACGTAAGTAGGGTGTGGTGGTATTTGTGCAGGTGCCCAAAATCCCAAAAGGAGAATGGAGAAGGGTCTGCCGTGTGGCCACCCCTCCTGGGTTGTGATTTCTCATTTTCCCTCTCTCTTCTCTGTCTCTCTCGGAAGTGCATGTGCCCCACAGCAAATTGTAAAAAAAAAAAAAAAAAAAAGAATACTACTAAAAAATTTCCACTAACTGTCTATATCACTGGAATTTAACTGTGTTTATTTAATAGGTGTAATTTCTATAGAATCATATGTAATAAAAATGTTCCAAATTCCTATGCAAATGGTTGGTAATAATCTCTCTCGTAACATCTTGGAAAGATAGAAGTGAGTTGTGTGATGAAATACTGCCTCAAACACTTACTAGATACGTGAGCTTGGAAAAGTTACTTAACATCTGATTAAGTAGTATCTTTTTCAGACACTTGATGTATGATTAAGAGATCAAGAGCATGACAATTAGTTCCCTTTCTTTTCACTTTTCTCCACAAATGAACAACTAATTTTTTTTTTTTCTAAATCTGCTCAGGCTAAGGTTACGGTCTCACTTCTATATTATTCAACACTGGAGAGTTTCTTAGTTTCTTAGGACTGTAGTCAGTCTCCTTAATTCCAGCCATTACTATATGATTCTGTTACAGTTGGGACTGGTGAACTTCTGGAATGTTTGATGTCTACATCTAACCTCTAAGGAGTCCTTCAAGATGAATGCCATAAGGAAAATGAGTGCAATTCAAATGAATTTAAATGTTTTCAGAGCATTTCTTTAACTCAGTTCACCAAAGCATTGTTAATCAGAATACACAAGAAATAAAAAGTGCATTTGTGGTAGTAGGAAACAGATAAAGCTGAAAATATTTAAAAGAAAATGGGATTCGAAAAACTGTTCTGTTTTTCCTAAATAATGATCTAATTGAAGCAGCACACTTATTCAAAATTTCCAGGTATGGTAAATTAAAGTTGACATGAGATTTTGGACATATTTGCTATATACACAATACTCTACAATAAATTCCAGTAGGTTTCAACTAATCTATATTTGTAGTACTAAACAGCACTAAATCCTTGGCAATGCTGTCATGCAATCATAATTTTACAGATGCAGCTGAAAACTAGTAACTTTGTCAGTACCAGTCACAGACAGAAGGAAAAACAAAAAAACCCTAGATATCTGTAGTAATTTATTTCCCCGTAGGGTTGAAATGTCAGCTTCTATAGCTAAAATTTGGTGACTGCAGCAGCATAGATCAAACAGGATGATTTACCTATTTCATTTTAGAAAAAGGCTCTTGAACCCAACAAGCAAAGAAGCGAAATCGCTCCCCACTCAATTTGTACTGAGTGGCTGGACTCTATGGCAGATTGAGAGATGTGAAGATGAGATGGTGGAGAGCATGGATGTGGATGCTAGACACTTAAGGGGAAAGAGGGGGAAAATACAGAGTGGGTGGTGAAGGGTGGGAGAGAGGTGCAAAGGAAAGAGACACTGACAGACCGAAAAATGTCAACTTCTCTTTTAAAAAAAAAAAAAAAAAAAAAAAGAGGTACCATCTGTAGATTTCTCATCTTAATCTATATAACTAATATACAGATGTTGGTATTTCCATGAGAAAAAAACTATAGAGAAAAAGATGGAAAGGAGATTCAGTTTTTGTAAATTAAGACAATGAAATAATAAAATCCTTGTTCACATTTGTAAACAGAAAAACAAGCAAAATCGCTTTCTCTCCCTTGGCACCCGGCGACATGGCAGCAAAACCAACACTGGCAGTCCTGACATGGACGAGGCCTACCTCCCAGAGGCCAGGCCTACGTGGCAAAGGTTTGGGAAACAATGAGAGAAGGGAAGAAGGATAAGGGGTCTTGGGCACGCAAAACTTTACCTTTTAACGCCAACAAATGCTCCTGTTTGGGGGGATTCACTTCCATTTTGACCGGCAGTTTTGACCTCTGGACTACGGAGGCTGAAGAGGTCAACCTGGCCCGGAAGAAAACCGGAAAACGCGCGTCTGGGAAGACCAGGCGTCTAACACACTGGCAACAGCTTCTCAACAGCTTCTCAGCCTACTGTACCTTAAATTTTCTTTTTATTACGTCCTTTACGGACTTAACGGCTTCTTTTCATCAAAACTGTCTTTTGTTTTTCAGAGACTTTTATATAAACTGTTTTCCGTCTACAATCGCAAGTCAAGACTTAAAGAAATTTCTCCCGCTACCAATACAGGGACTCGTATAAGCCTTCGCTGCAAGAATAAAATCGAAACATGAAAAAAGAAAGAAAGCGGGCGGGGGCGGGGGGGCGAGAGGGAAGGTAGGGGCGTGGCATGCTGGGGTTTGTAGTTTATGCAAAGCCGCACTGCATGCAGGGAGATGTAGTTTTTCCATTGTATCCACCCGTTCCCCAACCAGGTGGCTTGCAACTGGAGAGAAAAAAGCATTTCAGGAGCAGGAGTTTCACTCCGAACTTTGTTTTGTATCTTATTTTTCCCATGACTTTTTTCTTCCATAAATTGCAGACCAAATAATAACAACATGCCTGCGCGCCAGGCTGCGCAGCCAGCCAGCCAATAACGGACAGGAGGAGGAGCCTGGTGCACAGCCGAGCGGCGCCCCGCTTTGTACCGCGCATGTGCGCCAGCGGCGTGCGCTGAGGCCTCTGGGTAGGTAGTCGAGCCCCGCCCCTCAGTTGAAGGGACTGACGGCTGTGTCTGCGGTTCCTCTCTTCCCAGGATGGCTGCTCTGGTTGTAAACAAGCCCGGAGCCGGACTCGACGGTGGTCGACAGGGCAGCCGGGGAACGGCTGTGGTGAAGGTGAGGGACCTTGCGTACTCCATTCTCCACCATTGGCCTCCGTTCGGTTCATCTTAGACCCGGCGGCATCGCTGCGGCCCAAGCTTCAATGGGTGGGATGCGCGGCCTCTGGGCCCCTTTAGGCTTTACAGATCATTCTCTGACCTCCGCGACCTTTATCCCCGTTGGCCTGACGTTGCCTGGTTTTCAGCTCATACTAGATGTCAACATCGACAACGAGGACATTTGTGAAAAAAGTCTATTTCCCCAGCTCCTCTGCTTTTAGTTAAGCTCAAGAGGCATTACTTAACTTATTTTTATTAAATTAAACCATTATAATCGCCAGATACTGTATTAGGTGCTTTAACTCGTTAATACAGCTTAAAGTCTGTATTTTCACTGTTGCACTGCTGTAGTTGGATATTTGCTATTGGTTGAGCTGCTCCCCCTTTCCTCTTAGTCGCCTATTAATGCTTTTGAAAAGTCCCCAACTGCTCCTTAACTGGGCTTTAACATGAGTGTTTATGAATTGCCCTATACTTGAAATACAGGATTATTTCATGTGTAAATGCTTCACAATGTATGTATTAAATTAACTGAAACACTGTTTGTGGAACTCATTTTTTTCCTTAGACTATACAGGGAAAGATCTGGAAGAGAGAAATGATCTCAATATTCTACAGAGTAACCTCCAGGATTATCCATAATCTAAAAGATGGGGTAATTCTCATCCCTGGCTACAAATTGGGATCACCAGGGATACTTCCCTTCCCAATCCTCTTTTATTAGAAAAAAAGGGAAGACAAAGGTAGGTATTTTTGACAAGGTTTCACCTTGTTGTGATCCTCTTACGCTCGCCTTCTGATTAGCTCATAGAGCAGGTACACCACTGGCATGTTGGCCCAGAACCAAACTGGGCATCCAGTGTGGCTTCCAGGCTCCAAAATATGACTTTGCCAGTGGACTAGCACACCTGGGTTCAGTGAAGATTTTTTAAAAACTACTAATGCGCTTCTCTAACTCTGGTTAGGTTGACATCAGTATGTTTTTAATCCCAGAAGTGATATTAATGTGTACCCAAGGTTGAGAAACTACTGAAACAGATAATAATCTGACCATCTTTTAACATCATGAGTAGTAGACACTCAGGAGTTGTCATGTACTGTTGGTTTTATATGACAACAAATTAGACATTTGTGTCTGTAATATACCAATGTTGATGGTTGTTGATTCAGTTGACTTTTATATATTAATGAAACTATTCTGATGATACATAGCATATATGAGATGCAGAGAAGCTATTATTAGGCAAATTGTATGGTTGAGATTTTATTTATTTTGCTTTTGATAAGCAGACAAACCTGCATATTTAAAAAAGTTCGTTTATTTAATTTTATTTATTGTTATTTTCTAATTGCTACAGGACATGCATACTCACCAGAGAGAGAGAAAGAGAGAGAGAGAGAGAGAGAGAGAGAGAGAGAAAGAAAGAAAGCAAGCCACCAAGTCTGGGACTTGATCCACAGTCAGCCCTGTGAGAGTCCAGAGTTTTAACCACTGTACCACCTGCTGGCCCCTTGCATATTATTTTCAAAAAGTTTTATTGGATTATCAGAAAAGTCATGATATAGTTTTCTATGTCATGACTTTACTGATGATCCAATGTTCCATAATTGGAATGATGATCATTGAGCTATTTTTGTTACCCTGTTTGCCTTGTGATCTCAAAAGTATACCAAATTTGCAATTGGGTTGTCAGAAAAGTCATGACACATTTTTGAATAGATAAATATAGACAAATATGTCATGACTTTCCTGACAACCTAATGTATTAGAAGCTCACATTGTTCATTTTCATCATAACGTATTAAATGCTCTTGAATTGTGCAGTGAGATAGTCTTTTTGACAAGGTCTCCATGCCGTAATTTGTAGTAAGTGTGGTGGCATAAATCTTTAAAAAAAATCTTATTGTCATTTCCATAGATGAAAGCAAGAAGTATTCTTTGGAAGGTAAATGTTGAAGTATATAATTTTTTTTCCTTTTACTTTTATCTACATTTATTTTATGCTGACTTTATTCCTGTGCCATAGTTTTTGTTTCTTCAGTTTCTTCTGGAATATCTTTTACTTCCATGCTACTTCCTCTTCTGGTTTAGGAACAATTTGCTCCTTTTCAGTATCATCTCGATGTGGCAAGGGGAGCTCATGGATGGATTAATCCATCCATGAGCTCTGTACATACAGTGGCGCATCTTGGGTGCCTTGTTCACCTGAATGTGCTTCATGACCAGAGAATCTACATCTAACCCCTTAAGTTCAGCATTACTCTCTGCATTTTTAAGTATGTGCAGCAAAAATTTAGCACTCTTTTTGAGCCACCAACCTTGTGTCCAGCTCCACTATTTAGCCTTGGCACATCTACCAACTCCACCATTGTAACGACAGAATGGCACACAGCCATGTGGGATCCAACCACTTTAACCACCATGACACCAGCTGGCCCACCAGGGTTTTTATCAGTAGGAAAACCAGAGACACAAGAATCTGATATTGAGAAATAATTTACATTTAAGAAGAAATCATGTGGCGTGGTTGTTAAGGTGCTTAACTCCCACTTGGTTGACTGCTGTTTGAGTCTCGGACCTGGCAACTTGCTTTCTCATTTCTCTCTTTTTCTCTATTACTTTCTGGTCACATTAAAATAATAATAATAATATAATAAATAAAATTAAGTAAATAATTCTTTTACAAAATGAATCATAAAAGTTTCCTTTGCTAAGTGACCCTTCTTTTTATTTATTTATTTATTTAGCTTTATTGACTTACTTATTTTTATTTTTTTAAATTTGACCAGAGAAGATCAGAGAGAGAGAAAGGGAGAAAGCAAGTCTCCAGGTCTGGGACTTGAACTGTGGTCAGCCATGTGGGAGTCCAGCACCCCCATCCACCATGCCACCTGCCGGCCCCTGACCCTTCTTTTTTTTATAATTACTTTTTAAATTTAATTTTATTTATTTATTAATTTGTTCTTAATTTGAGCAGAGAAACACACACACACACACACACACACAGAGAGAGAGAGAGAGAGAGAGAGAGAGAGAGAAGGAAACTGAGAAAGCAAGCCACCAGGTTTGGGACTCGAACCATGGTTGGCCATGTGGGAGTGTCCAGCACCTTAGCCACCATGCCACCTGCTGGTCCCACAGAGTGACCTTTCTTAGTACTTTAAAATATGATTTGGTTCATTAAAATTTGATTTAAAAATTGATTTACATATAATAAGTTTGAAGCTTTCCTTGGCGTATTTGTGAAGTTTAAGAGCTTTTTTTCTATCTAGAATTATCTTGGGCATAATTCCTGATCACAGATACTGAACAAATAATGTCTTTCTGAATTATTTAATGATTTGATGCAAAATAATCCAGTACCTTTATTTCTGAACCCATGTTTGGTTTACTAATCAATAGAATTTTACTAGTGCTTTTTGAAAAAAATCTATCATAGCAGCATTAAGTAACTTATCTTGTATAGTGATGAGGTAGGAGATACAAGATAGATAAGATAAACTAAATAAAATTTTATTCTGGTTCTTTGGAGTTTGTCATAAACATATTTATTTTATACTTTTTTATTTTATTTTTTGCCAGATAGCATGAGACAGAGGTGGAGAGAAAAAGCACTTCCTAATGTAAGATAGTCACACTGCAATCCCTCATTTCTCCTTCCTGTTGGGATTTTGGGCATGTGCACACATTCACCTGGCATGCTTGTCAAGCTGTTGGGGCCAGGATTTGAACCATGTAGTCATGTGATCTGACTTCCTTAACCACTAGGCCTCAGGTTTAATTTATCATATCACAATATTGAGAGGATTTATTAAAATGCAGTGTTTATTTTATAATATCTAATTCTAGTGTGTTGTTTATTTAATGGGATTTGATAAACTGAAATTTTTTCTTCCCTTTTTTAAAAAAATGTAGGGATGGGACCAGCAATTGGCATAATGGCCATGTCGCTGGACTCCCATGTAGGTAACTGCGGTTCAAGTCTCAGACTCGGTGGTTTAAACTCATGCTGGGCATGTGTACATGCGTGCCCAAGATCCTTAGAAGAGAATGGAGGAAAAGGGATTGCTGCATGGCCATCCCCCCTGAGGGATGATTTCTTGCTTTCTGTCTCTCTGTCTCCCTCTGTCTTTCTGGCAAGCGTACGTGCCATATAGCAAGAATCTCTCAAAAATAAAAAAACTGTAGGGTCAACTGAAAACTGTGTATGCATGTGATTAATACAATTTATAGGTGGCTGTTGTCTAGCTGGTTCCTATTTTCTTATGGAGTCAGTGTTCTAGTGTTAATCAATTTCTTATGTTCCTCGCAGAAAGACAGTGTGGTTATAAAAACATTTGCACTTTTACACAAAAATAAATGTTCTATTTATCACTTTTTGCTTTGCTTTATTCATTTGAAATCATTCTGAGTACATAACAAATCTTTGTCTTTCTCACTTGTCTGCACAATTTTACAGTATATGTACCATAATTTATTTTCCTATCTGGTATTGACATTTATTTACTTTGTTTCCATCTTTTGCTAATACAAGTGGTACTGTGCGGAATAAGATCCAGAACTGATACATTTTTAGGTTATATCCCTGCAGCTGGAATTGCTGAATTAAACTTTTGACAGGTATTACCAGGTATTTTTCCATAGAAGCTGTGTCATTTAATAAACATTTCAAAATAATCAGCAGTGTATGAGAGTGTCTGCCTTTTCTATACTTTTGTTAACACAAAGCATTACCCACTTTTTTTAAATCTAATCTGAAAAGTTTCTTAATGTAGCTTTAATTTGCATTTCTCTTCTGAGTTATTTGAACATTGTTTCATATTTATATGCACATATGTATGTACACATATGCATATATATACACATACATAATCATATATATTTATACTTATATATAAGAAAAAAGAGGGCCAGGAAGAGAAATGTGTAGAGGGAGGAGGTGGTTATACCACAGTCCTTTTTCCTCTAATCCTTCTTCCTGTCAGGATTTGGGCTGTGAATACAGGTATACCTGGCACATTTTTTTAAGCCACCAGGTCTGGGGTTTGTACTGCCATGTGAGATCTGGCTCCTTTAACCACTATACCACAGGAATGGCCCATGTTTTCATATATTTAAATATATATATTTTATTTCATTTTCTGTGTACTGTATTATATTTAAATTTCTTTTGAACCATATTGAGATTCAAGGCAATTATTAATTACATTTATGCTAAAGGTAATTGGATTATAAGCACTGAGTCCAAACTTATTGCAGAGTTACGCTTAGAACTAATGAATTTAGTCTGATTTTCTCCCTGGGTTTTCTGTTTTCTACCTTGTGTTGTGTATTTGACAGTGATGTGATGAATTATTTTTTAGTTTTAATTTTGTTGGACTACTTATTTAAGTATATATGTATTTGGCGTTTGGCATACCCTGTTCCTGAGGGCTCTTTGTTCTAACAGAAAAAGACTGGAAAGCCAATAAAGATATTAAAGTGTTCAGGGTGTAATGGTGGAAACTCATCCAAATCATATGGGGGCTCAAAGGATTTAGTGTGCTCATTTCAGTTGGATAAACTTTGGGTAGACCCGATAGATAAGATCATTTAGGAATTTGTTGGTTTATTAAAGCAAAAAAATAAAGAATTAGCATAAAGAAAGAGACATGAAATACTTCATCATGTTCTGGAAACCACCCAATCTTCAATAAATTGGAGCACAGGGTTTGAAGGGTGTGGCAGTCAAATGACAGGTCAGGGGCCAGATTGTAGCAGGTTTTGAATGGCAGACACAGGAGCTTGGGACACAGTCGAATAGTAAAGGGTGTGTGTCTGTGAGTGCATTTTAATTATTAAAATTTTGAACATTACAGATACACTTAGAAATGGAAGCACTGAAGATACTTCCTGTGGGACCAGCAGATGGCATAATGGTTATGTCACTGGACTCCCATGTAGTCGACCCTCATTTGAGTTCTGAACCCAGCAGTTCAAAACTCATGTGGGCTGATGTGTGTGCATTCCCAAAATCCCAGAGGAGAATAGAGGAGAAGGGATTGTGGCATGACTATCTCGTCTGGGGGGATGATTTCTTGCTTTCTGTCTTTCTCTCTAGTGAGCACACACGCCCTATACCAAAACTCTCTTAAAAAATTTTTTTTCTTGGTAAAAATACAATTTATCGACTATATAAAACATGAACTCCTGGACCTGAAAATGAGGTTGATTTTTATAACCTTTTCAGCTGTGTAGCTTGGGTAAGTCTTGCACCTGTAATTGGAACTGCATAGACAAAATGTTTTCTAACCCAGGGCCATATTTATTAGTAGAGAACGAGAATTGAAATTTAAGTCTAAGATGATTGCTTCTTGACCTTACACTTTTTGGTTTAAGTGGATAGTAGGAGATACTTGAAAATTACCATAATATTTTCTTACATATTCTTCATAATTTACAAAGGTACTCGTCATGCTAGCACATACTTTTGATTATTTTTGTCAAATGAATGATTTATTGGTGGGTTTTCTAGTTGTATAAAAATTGTTTAATGATATAATTTTGGTAGAATTATATATTGTCTTTATAGATTAAGATGTAATGAGTCAAGTCATAATTTTCAAAAGATAAAGATGATTTTAATTTGTGGTGTTATTTTGATCCCAAGCGTTTAGTATTTTTAATTTTTTAAAGAATTATTTCTTTTACCCTTAACCCCCATGCCACCTGGCAGCCCCTTTTATTTATTTATTATTATTTTTTAAATATATTTAATTTTATTTTTAGTACTTCAAGATTTCACTCTGGGGAACCAGCAGTTAGTGTAATGGCTATGTCGCTGGACTCCCACATAGTTGACCATGGTCGCGTCCCAGACCCGGTGGCTTAAAACTCACTCCGGGCGCATGTGCGTGCGTGCCCAAGATCCCAAGGGGAGAATGGAGGAGAAGGGATTGCAGCGTGACCATCCCCCCAGGGGGTGATTTCTTGCTTTCTGTCTCTATGTCTCTCTCTGTCTGGCGAGCGCACGTGCCCTATAGCGAAAACCTCTCAAAAAAAAAAAAAAAAAAAAAGATTTCACTCTGATGTGATCTTGGCAATGAGTAAAAAGTGATTTCAGAATTTGAAACCTAGTTTTTTTCTTTTCTATTTTTTAATGGAGAAAAAAGCAACAAGGTTGATTCAGTACAGTAGGTCAGTTTCAGGTCAGTTTCTTTTTAAGCCTGAAATATGTATGTTTATAAAATAATTTAAAAGTACATGTATCTTCTTAAAATATTAGGTGCTGGAGTGTGGAGTTTGTGAAGATGTTTTTTCTTTGCAAGGAGACAAAGTTCCTCGCCTTCTGCTTTGTGGCCACACAGTCTGTCATGACTGTCTCACCCGCCTACCTCTTCATGGAAGAGCAATTCGTTGTCCATTTGATCGACAAGTAACAGACCTAGGTAGGAAAATTACTGTGTGGATTTAAGATTGCTCATGTAATACAAATAGCATAAGAAACATTTTCTTTTAAGTAGATTTTTAAAATGATAAAACCTTAAAAGTCTTAGAAAAGCCTGAGTGTCTATTAAGGTCTTTAGTCTTTTAACTATATTACTAGTTCAGTCTTAGTTACTCATTTTATTTCATCTTCTGAGATAATTATATTCCATACTTGTATGCAAAGAGCTTTAAGACACCTGAGAAAAATGTGCTACATGTATTCAAAGAAAGAATATTCATGATAGAGTAAATCATTTACCTGAAGCTATTAATCCAGTAAAACTGTGTTTTATTTACAAATGAATAAGCTGTAGTAAAATTACAGATAAGTCAGCGTCTTAGTATGTTTTTGTTTACTAATAACAGAAATGGAAATAGCTTGTGACAACCACTACTTATTTTCTGTTAAAATTAAATTAAAGATTTTGCGGATTTTTTTTCCCCTACTTATTTTGAAACCTTTGCTTTGTATGCCCAGCCACATTGGTGCAGGTGGTAGGTTGCTGCTGCACAATACTGTCTATAGTAAAAGTCAGTGACAAAATAGAATTTGTAAAATTAAATGATAGAAAAATAATAGAATTTTAAAATATTTTTTTACTAGTAATTGTTCTGGCATAAAAGAATGGGAACCCAGCCTTAGTTGCAGGTGGCAGAAGGTGGGAGGGCGCTGCTGCACATGGGTCCACATAGGGTGTCTGAGTTTGGTTCATGAACCACCTAAACAGTCTGGGTGTGGTGGTGCATACTTATAATCCTAGCTAACTGGGAAGCTAGGGGAGGAGGATGGTGGCATGGCCAGACCCTGTTACCCCTCCACTCTCTTTGCTTTAATTGAAAAGAAGAAAGAAAAATATTTGAAAAGGTGGTTGTGCCAGCACCAAGGGAACTTCTTTCTCCACCTACCATGGCTCAGTGGCACCTCTGAACCTCAATAATGAGGTTGTGAATATGAGAAAAGAAGTGAAGGTAATTCGAGTTTTGGTTATCCAAAAACTTGTCAGAAGTGTTGGGAGACTGAAGTCAAAAAAGGGTACTGAAGATGCACTGTTAAAAAACCAGACAGGCTCAATGATTTCCTGAAGAACTCCTTGCCATGAAGGAATTAAAACCTGGTGTTGTAACTAAATCTGCTCTTGGTGATAATATCAACTTGGGAGAAATCTGTAAAAAGCCAGATTTTACTACAGCTGAAAGAGCAATTGCCAGACTAGCAACACATCCTTGCCTTAAGAAAAATATAGATGTGCTAAAAGCTGCTGTCCGAATCTTTAAAAATGCAAAACAAAATGCTCCCAAAGTTGAGTCATTAAAGAATACTTCAGAAGGGGACCAGCAGTTGGCATAATGGCTATGTTGAACTGTAGTTCACTGAAGTTCGAGTCCCAGACCCAATGGCTTAAACTCACATTGGGCACACATGCGTTTGTGCCCAAAATCATGAGAGGAGAATGGAGGAGAAGGAATTGTGGTGTGGCCATCCCCCCTGGGGGGTGATTTCTCGCTTTCTGTTTCTGTCTCTCTCTTTCTCGTGAGCGCATGTGCCCTATATTAAAAACCTCTCAAAAAAAAAAAAAAAAAAAGAATACTTCAGAAGAAAATCATTCTAAAGCTGCTTTGTGTTCTAGTGATGAAGCAAGTAAATCCCAACATGAAGGAACTATTGTCAGTAACCACTAAGTGAAAGAAGACAAAATACCAGCAAATAAATCAATAAACAATACAAAAGAAAAAGTGACTAAGATGGAACATGGACCCAAAGTAGTAGTAGACATTCCAATTTCTCCATCAACGTCTTGAGGAAAGGATTCTGTGGTTCCTCCTCAATCCCAGAAGATACCTGAGACACTTGCTGACATCAAATTGAAAACATTTAAGTCACACCAAAAAAAGAGGAGTCCTATAGCTCGTTTGATAACAGTGAGAGTGAAGAATTACCTGAAGAGGAGGCGTATTTTGATGATAGCACAAAAGGAAAGTTTTATAGAGTCTTCCATGTTTGAGGACAGTGACAGTGGGATTGACTTTTTCATTGGAAAAGTCAGACAGGCAAAAGAAGGAAAGTAGTTGCCATTCTGCAGTTAAGGAACAGTAAACCTTTCAAAAAGCATTACCAAAAGAAAAGACACATGAACCCCTTTGAGATACAAGAAATGACAAAAGCAAGTAAATACAGAAACCAACAAGTTAGATTCAGTGTTTTTCCTCTTTGTCTGGATCTAAAAGCATTAGAACAAATCACAGTGAATAGGCTCCAAAAAACCAAGCTCTAGATTTCCCACAAGAGCTCACAAAGATGACTTGAAAATCCAAAGCAGCTGTTGCAGCTTCTTCTTCATCCTTCATGGGAAGCAAACAAGAGGCGGAAAGAGCAGCAGTCTAAAATTGCTGCTAAAAAGATTGCATTTGATGATTTATTAGTGCCTCTTTTTATGATTTTTTTCCATCTAAAAATTACTGTTCTTCCCTGTCCCCCCATCCTATTTTTTAAACTTGTATTTGAAGTCTCTTTGGAGGGATTGTAGATTGGTTTTGTCTTTTTTTTTTTTTTTTAACTTGAATTCAGTTTATGTTTACATAAGCCTTTTACAAATAAAGTACATACTTTTTTTTTTTTTTTTTTTTTTGATGATATGCCCTAGATTGTTTTCTCTATAAACAAAGTTTGGGAATATAGAGATTTCAGATTTTCTCACTTATTCCTGTCATGAATGGATTTCACTGGGTAAGCCCTGTTTTTAGCTTGGAGATAATTGTCATGATTTATTTAGGACCAGCCCCACTGCCACAGCATTGGCACAGTGCTCTGCTCTGCTGCACTTAAGCTGTAAAGTCCTGGTCTTACGTCCCAAGGTCCCCCTGTACACACCAGGTGTACACATGCTGGGGATCCCAGCTGCCTAGGATGGGGTTGGAATCACAGTGTGCAGACCCTGTTCAGGCTGCCCTCACTCTCTTTCGTGGAATAAATTGACAAATGTTAAAATTTGTGTGTGTATATATATTTAAAATAATGGAAAATTATGAGGAGATGATAGCTATTTAACATAGAGCGCCTTGTTTAAAAGTTATTTTTGTTACTAAAGCTGAAATAGTAACCTATCATGAGTATATAGATAATAAATTGTGAAAAAAAAAGTCATAAACTTACTAATTTAAAAATTTTAAATATTAATGGCTAAATTATAATTTAGAAGTACTATTATAGTATGGGGTAAAATGATTAATATTCTATTTTGTTAGTTTTTAAATATTTATTCTAGGAGATTCAGGTGTCTGGGGATTGAAAAAAAATTTTGCCTTATTGGAGCTTTTGGAGCGACTGCAGAATGGACATATTGGTCAATATGGAGCTGCAGAAGAGACCATTGGGATATCTGGAGAGGTATTGATTAAACTTGATGAAATGTTTGTTATATTTTTCTTTTAATTTAAAATATTTGCCATTATTAGCAGAATACTATCTCTTCAATAGGTAGATTTTTGAAAATATGACTGTTTATTACATTATAGTTCTACAGGCAGTGCTGTTCCCAACAGAACAAAAGTAAAATTGAAACTTGAATTCTTTGGAAATAGTATACCTAAAGTATATATTTATGTTAAATGTTTCTCCTTATCATAATTCCATTCCCTCCCAGTATAAAATGGAAAGAATAAGAAGATTATGGAAGACAAGAAAAGACATGTTAGCTGTAGTAGGATAGAGGATGCAAAAAAGTAAATTAGTCAACAGAAAACCCCAACAAAAAGAAACTCCATGAAAAAAGTAACTTCTGAAGAAATTACTATTAAATATTTTCCTTTTTAAAAATTATTATTTAATTTTATTTTTATCATTATTATTATTTTAAATTTTGCCAGAAGGCACGTGTGCTCACCAGAGAGACGGGGAGACAGAGATGGAAAGTGAGAAAGCAAGCCACCACGTCTGAGACTCAGGTCACAACTGGTCATGTGGGAATCCAGCAACTCAACCACCATGCCACCTGCTGACCCCACTATTGTATTTTATAACACTAGAAATTTTTCCTGTTTTGAAATACTATCTTTATCTGGACAGACAGATGTCTGGGTAATAATAGGAAAAATATTAACACTGGATTTTAATGACGTTAAAATATAATAGATTTTTTAAATATATAAAGAAATGTCTACATAGCTTATATAATATAGGATATGGCTTTCTTAGAATTTTTGGATATTAGAATATTTGTAGTAAGTAATGGTTAATGATTTTGGTCACCATGAAAGTTTTATTATTTATTCATTCATTCATCATAGAGCAAGTATGCATGTACAACAGAGAGAGAGAGACAGAGAGAGTGCACGTACCCTCTACAGGGCTTAGTCATTCCATAATTCCCATCCTCAAGCCCACTAGATGCATATACCCGGTGTGTTTTCAGGCCTACTAAGCCTGGGATTTTAACCCTAATTGTCATATGACTTCATCACTGTCTGGTACACTACCAACTGTGCCAGAGTCTGAGTATTGGTGAGCAACTATAAAAGCATGTATTTTGTGTCAAGGAAGAATATGTCAGATTTCTTTCTACTTTTTATAAGATGATGATTTATTTCTAAAATTTTAATTTTAGAAAAGCTATTATCTAATGTTGGCCCAGCTGTGTAGCACATGGTTGAGGCTGCTACTTCTCATGTTGAGGCTACATGGGAGGCTCAAGTTCAGTTCCTGGCCCACCCTTATAAAACAGGCACAGTGGTATGTGCCTTTAGTCCTGGCTACTTGGGAGTCCGCCACAGGAGGAGCACAAGCTCATGGCTAATGTGAGCAACATAATGAGAAGCTATCTCCAAGAGCTGGCTGGGCTAAGGAGCATATACCTGTAATCCCAGATGTTTGCAAAGCTGATGCAGTAGTATTGTGACATAGTGAGACCCTGTCTTTAAAAAAAAATTGTCTAATATTGACCTTGTTAGTTTTTTGTCAGGTCTAGAAAATAGAAGACATGATTTTTTTTTTAATGACACCTTTACATATTTCTCATAATTGCAAACAAAATGACTCAACTTCTGTTTGTTTGAAGTCAGGATCTCACCATATCATGATCTTCTTGCTCAGTGCCCTAGATGGAACTATAGGCACACACCACCATTTTTGGCTCTTGTTTAGACAGGTTCTTCTGAGTTGTCCAGGTCAGCATGAAGCTCGCCACCATCCTGCCTTGGCCTGCCAAAGTTGCTAGATTACAGGTGCATACCACTGCATCTGACCTTTAGATTGTGCCAGAAATTAAATCTAGGCCACCCATGTTGTCTCAGTTTGCAGAGCACAATGTCTGAGTTCACTACTATGGTTGGGCCTGGGTTCAGTTTTTAATTTAATACGATAATGAATGACATCATAGATTTATCTTTTCTTATAGCAAATGTGTGTGTACACACGTGAAATAGAGTGAATGGGGGGAGCACACCTGACAGAGTCTTGTCATACTCTCTTCCCTCTCAACAGCCCTCTGGTTCTTTGGGATCCTGAGCCTGCACATATACTCAGCATATATACAGACTGACCTGGTGATCTGAATCCATGATTGCTGTATGGCCTCCAGTCTTGCAGGACACCTATGTTACCAATGTGTCATAGCAGCTGGACCCACTGATGCATTTTTAAATATTTTATTTCTCAAATAATTTATGCCAAATCTCTCCCCTATCTATTCAGGGCCTTTTAATATTTAGCAAAAGTTTTCAAAGTGTGGCCAGATGGTGGTGCAGCAGTGATGCAACTGGACTCACATGAGAAGGTTCTGGGTTCACTTCCTAAGGTCTCTCTTCATGTGCCTATGCTCTGGGCTGGCTGAGGTTGGGGGAAAATCATGGAATGGGAATCCTATTAGGGGGTACATCTCTCTCTCTCTCTCTCTAACTCTTTCTTTCTGTGTGTCTTTCATAGAAAACATAAAAAATAAAACTTGAAGATTTTTTTTTTTTGAGAGGTTTTTGCTACAGGGTGCATGCACTTGTCAGAAAGACAGAGAGAGACAGAGAGACAGAAAGCGAGCAATCACCCCCCAGGGGGGATGGCCACGCCACAATCCCTTCTCCTCCATTCTCCTCTCGGGATCTTGGGCATGCACACACATGCGCCTGGCGTGAGTTTAAGCCACCAGGTCCAGGACCCGAACCGCGGTCGACTACATGGGAGTTCAGCAGCATAGCCATTACACTAACTGCTGGTCCCAAACTTAAAAATTTTTGAAAGCAAGCATTCTTGATTATCTGAAGTAATTTTTACCCACTCAAAATGCTTTTTTAAAATTTATTTATTTGCTGTAGGGCATGTGTGTATGCCAGAGAGAGGGGAAAAGTGAGATATCACTCCCCCACACATACCCACCTTGGGATGGCCACACCACAATTCCTTTTCCTTCAGGCATTTTGTGCGTGCATAGCACATGCACTCAGTGCGTTTTTCAAACCATCAGGTTGGGGACTTAAACTGCAGAGTTGGCCATGTGGGATTCAGTGCCTTAACCACTATGCTACCTGCTGGCCCCAGAATGCTTTTTAGTAATTTGTGAAAATTAGAAATAATATTTAGAAACTTAAATGCCAGTTTTATATAGTTAATTTTGTTAAATCAGTGGTTTTTAACCATGATTGCACAATAAACTCACCTGTGGGGCTATTAGAATATTCTTGTGTACATTTTGAAAACTATGCACAAGGTTAGGCTTTACCTATTTTATCCGGCTGAAACGAGAACTTCCTGGCTAGAATCTGCATCTGTGTTTTCAAAATCTGCACAGCTTATTCTGATGCGTACTACTATGTTATCAAGCCATCGGGAAAGTCATGAGGTATTTTACTATGGTTTTCTATACAAAAATGCATCATGACTTCCCTGATGACCCAATAAATAGCACTTGTATTTCTGCCCTTTTTATATATACTCATTATGAGTAATATATAAGGCAATGGAAGTTTACTAAATAACAGGGTTTTTTTCAGTCTTAAAAACAAAGACTTCTGGGGCGTGGTGGCGCCCGCCCTATGGCAAAAACAAAGACTTCTGACGTGGTGGTTAGGGCTCTGGACTCCCACATTACCGACAGCAGTCAGAGTTACTGACCTGGCAGCTTGCTTTCTCACTTTCCCTCTCTCTGTCTCTGTCTGCCTCTCTCTGGTGAGCACGCGTGCCTTGTACCAAATTAATAAATAAATAGGGGCCAGCAGGTGGCTTGGTGGTTAAGGTGCTGGAATTCTCACATGGCTGACTGTGGTTCGAGTCCTGGCTTGCTTTCCAACTTTCCTTTTCTCTCTCTTCCACTGGCAAAACTCATGTAAATAATAGTAATAATAATAACAAATAAATAACAAATTATTATAAAAACGACTATTGATCTTCTATGGTTCATGTTCTTATGTGTAAACTAAGGGTATTTAGTGGAAGAGATTTGATGTTGACTGAATCTATGAGAATAGCTGTATTTTTGGCCTCAAATTCATTACTTATATTGGTCATCAATCTCAAAAATAGCTTCTCACTTACCTGCAGGCGTGAATACCTTCTCAGATAGGTAGTGAACAGCCTTTGCCAGTAAGTACATTTGCATACATAAAACTTGGTCAGTGAAAAAAGACGTTTAAATGCTATGGCCTTTTACATTTCAAAATTTGTCATGCTAAAATGATTTTGTTCAGTTTTAAGGGATTAATTTTGTGTTTATCAGAGCATCATTCGCTGTGATGAAGATGAAGCTCATGTCGCATCTGTATATTGTACTGTGTGTGCAACTCACTTGTGTTCAGAGTGTTCCCAAGTTACTCATTCTACGAAGACATTAGCAAAGCACAGGCGTGTGCCTTTAGCTGATAAACCTCATGAGAAGACCATGTGCTCTCAGCACCAGGTGCACGCCATTGAGTTTGTATGCTTAGAAGAAGGTTGTCAAACTAGTCCCCTCATGTGCTGTGTCTGCAAAGAATATGGAAAACACCAAGGTCACAAGGTATGAATTTAATTCAGTGGGATGACTCTAGTTAGCTTAGTAGCCCATTTGTTTTTACTGACATGATTCTTTATGGTAAAAGTCAGAATTGAAAAAGACCTTTGGCATCAGGAGACAGTGTAATGGTTATAATTGCTGGACTCCCACCTAGTCAACTGTAGTTTGAGTTCTGAACCTGGTGACTTAAAACTCATGCTGGGCACATGTGTGTGCATGCCTAAAATCCTGAGAAGAGGAGATTGGAGGATAAAGGTTTATGGCATGGTCATTCCCCCAGAAGGTGATTTCTCGCTTTCTCTCTTTCTTTCTCTGTCTCCAATGAGCGCATGTGCCCTATAACAAAAATCTCAAAGAAATTTTTAAAAATAAAAAAAATATATAAAAAATGAATGAATTTGGCTTGGTAACAGGAAAAGAAATGTGATTTAATTTCTGGATGTATGAATGTCATAAACATTTCCAAGAGGCCCCATGATTATTTATTGAAAAATAGCTTTCCAGGAGGAAACAAAAATTCTTTGTGTGCATGTTTTTATAATGTACTGGTTTGTTTTGATAATATTTATGTCTACTCATGACCTATTATTAATACTTATGATATAGTTTTAGAGATGGTCTCTTGGTTTCTTGTTTCATGATAAATGTACTTCCAAATTTTAAATTATTTTATTACAGAATAAATAATTTTCTTATGAAAGAGTAGAAGTGAATTAAAATTTTTTTAAAGGATCATTTTATTTAACTTTATTTATTTGTTTATTTAAATTTGATCAGAGAGGGACAGAGTGAGAAAGAGAGGGAAAGAAAGCAAGACACCAGGTCTGGGACTCGAACTGCAGTTAACCATGTAGGAGTCTGTCACCCTTAGCCACCATATCACCTGCTGACACCAAGCTGTGCTTTTTCTAAATGTGTAATAAAAACCACTGTGCATGTTTTGTTTGTTTGCTTTTGTATTAAAGAGGGATTTAAATAATTTTTGTATCACTAATCAACATTATGATTTCTGTTCTGTAATTATGCATTTTATAGCATTCGGTATTGGAACCAGAAGCTAACCAGATCCGGGCATCAATTTTAGATATGGCTCATTGCATACGAACTTTCACTGAGGAAATCTCAGATTATTCCAGAAAATTAGTTGGAATTGTTCAGCACATTGAAGGAGGAGAGCAGATAGTAGAAGATGGAATTGGAATGGCTCACACAGAACATGTATGGTTTTTTTTTTTTCTTTCTTCTTTACTTTCTTATCCCTTTTCTCTCAACTTTTCACCTTCTAGTAAGTATTTATTGAGCAATTACAACTTACCAGTATAGCTTAATCATTGGAAATAAGATTTTTAAAGTGTCTGTGTCTGCCTGGAACTTGTAATCCATCATGGAAGAGAGCAGTTTCGAGTGTGGTATCCATTAATTTTGGGGGTGTGTGTGTGGGTGTACAGAGTGCCTTGGCAGCACATATGAGGGACAACAATTTACATAGGTCAGAGAAATACATGTCCTAGAAAAAGTGATGCTCACATTGAGAGTTGGAGGAATTCAGTCAGGAAGAAGAGCATGGTGAGGAATAAGTTGTTCTAGTCAAGGAGTCACAAGTTAAGATTGGATGTGTTGTAGAAACTTAATGAACTTAACTATGGTTGGAGGTTTGAATATTGAGAGGAGTATAGCAATAAAAGAGATTATAGAGAATTAAAGACTAAATCATGTAGAATCTTTAACTATGTTAAAGAGTTCAGAACGTGGGGATGGCAGATAGTGTAACAGTTAAGGTGCTGGACTCTCACGTGGCCAACTGCAATTTGAGTTCTGGACCTGGCAGCTGACTTTCTCACTTTCCCTTTCCCTCCCTCCCTCTCTTTTTTTTTTTTTTGCCCCCTCTTTTTTTTTTTTTTTTTGAGAGTTTTTTTTTGTTTTTTTTTTTTGTTTTGTTTTGTTTTGCTATAGGGTGCATGCACTCGCCAGACAGACAGAGAGAGACATAGAGACAGAAAGCGAGAAATCACGCCCCAGGGGGGATGGCCATGCTGCAATCCCTTCTCCATTCTCCTCTCGGGATCTTGGGCACACACGTACATGCACCCGGCATGAGTTTTAAGCCATCGGGTCCGGGACGTGAACTGCGATCGACTATGTGGGAGTACAGCGACATAGCCATTATGCTAACTGCTGGTCCCCCTCTCTGTCTCTTTGTGGTAAAAATAAAAATAAATAATAATAACAAATAAATAAATCTTTCTTTTTTTAAAAAAAGTTTAGAACTTAGCTTAAAGATGGGGATTGAATAATTGACATAGAAATGACACAGTCATATTTATATTAAGAAAGGTTGCTTTTGGGTCCAGCAGAGGGCATAGTGGTTCCGTTGCTGAGCTCCCACATGGTCAATCACATTTTGAGTCTCAAACCCAATGGCTTGAAAATCACACTGGGCATGTGTGTGTATGTGCACAAAACCCCAGGAAGAGGATGGAGAAGAGATTGCATCTTGGCCATCCTCCCAAGGGAGGTGATTTCTCACTTTCCCTCTTACCATCTCTGTCTTTCTCTCTGGCAAGCACACGTGCCCTATGACAAAAACCTCTAAAATAAAAAAAGAAAGAAAGAAAGGAAAGAAACGTTGCTCTTAAATGTAGAAAATAAATTGAAAGAGCAACAAGATTGGAAGCAAAAAGACCTATCAGGACATTGTTGAAATTTCCTAGTTGAGAGAGAATTATCATCTATAATACTAGGGTAAAGAGAATCAAAACTAGATAGATTTGAGGTTTTTAAAGAAGTAGAATTGGTAGGTCTTAGTGATTGATTGTGAATATTGATTGGATAGCTAATTTGGAGGATCAGACTGGCCAGTCGGAAGGTTATTACAGTAATCAACATGGATCAGCTTAGAAAAAATGGAGGTGATGAGGCATGATTAGATTCTGAATGCTTTGAAATCAGCAGAATTTGCTGAGGGATTAGTTGTGGGATATGAAAGAGAAAAGTTAGGGGTAACTAATTTTTTTGGCTTCTACAACCTAGAGGATGGAGTTTCCATTTATTGAGGTGGCGATAACTAGGTTTGAAGGTTGAGGAGACTGGAGATAGGGCTTCCATTTTGCTTGAGATGTCATTTATGAACAGTTTGATATCCAAAGTCTATTGTTAAGGGAAAAGATTCCAATAGTATAGAGACTTAAAATTTGGAGTTTACGAGAGCATAGATAATATTTAAATGTTCAATATCTCACATATAAAATCTTTGCTATGGTTACAGTTGTTTAAAACCTTTTTTATTTCTGTAGGTACCAGGTACTGCAGAGAATGCCCGGTCATGTGTCCGAGCTTATTTTTCTGATCTCCATGAAACTCTGTGTCGTCAAGAAGAAATGGCTCTGAGTGTTGTTGATGCTCATGTTCGTGAAAAACTAATTTGGCTCAGGCAACAACAAGAAGATATGACTATTTTGTTGTCCCAGGTTTCAACAGCCTGTCTTCATTGTGAAAAGACTTTGCAGCAGGTAGGCAGTTTCTGTGTGGTTAGGGCCTTAGCTATAATGTTAAGTAGATATTACCAGGGGTATACTAGTTTGTTTTATTTTAACTTAAATATTTTGTGTCTGCTGTAGGTATTAGTGTTGTGTTTTGGACATGGTCTCTGATCTTGAATTATTCCATGAACCATATTAGTTTCTTCTTGTGCCCTTCCCACCATAAAGCCATGGTTTCTTTGCCAAGCATATACTGTTCTTTCTGTTTAGAATATCTATAACTCTCTTTTCTGATACTGGAAATTCTCTTTCTTTTTGAAGGGCTAGTTAAAATGTTTCCTTTTCTTTGAAGCTCTCTCTTTCTTTGTTTCTTTTGGGTGCCTCACTAGCATGGACTACCTACCTGTGCTCTAATCAAGTGGTTCTTAACTTCAGTGTCACAGACACACCAAAAAAGAATAAATTAAAAACATGTTTTGTGATGATCGAGGTGTCCTAAGCAATTTATTACCCCTTTTTCAGATTATTTACTTGTGAAATAAATGAGAGGGTCATTCTAACAAAAATATAAGTGTTAGACATTTCTATTTCAGATCACTTTCATAGGGAGATGTGAGGATATTTATTGCCCTAGGAATTTCAGAAAAAAATAGTCTATTTTATCTATACAGATATATTACTAATAATTATGTTGATTTCAAATTATTGTATACTGAACTTTTTACCACTGGAGAGCTTTTCCTCTTAAATATCTAACTACACTTATATGAGTGTTGCCAGCCTATGACTTCATCAGGTTTTTTGGTTTGTTTTTTAGTTTGCTATAGAACATGTGCCAGAGACACAGAAAGAGAGAGAAAGAGGGAGGGAAAAGTGAAAAATCATCCCTTAGCGGGGATGGCCTTGCTGCAATCCCTTCTCCTCCATTCTCTTCTCAGGATTTTGGGCACATACACTCATGTGCCCAATGTGATTTTCAGGCCTTCGGGTCCAGAGCTTAGAGTGTATAGTCAGCCATGAGGTATCCAGCTGCCTTAACTGTCATACCACCTGCTAGCCTGAGTTCCTCAGTTTTGAATTGTTGCTTAGTCCTTGTCACATTGAATTGTAACAGTTAACGAGAATGCCATTTTTAAAGTTGTCTTTCAGTTCCAATCTTGAACTTTGTGATATTAAAGGTGGAATTCAACAACTACATTATCTGTGTTGCCCGCTGATTCTGTTAGGCACTGCCAGCAGGGGGAAGTAGAGGGAGGTTGGAAAGAAGGATGTGGTTTCCTGTGGGTTCTTGATTGCTTAGAGTTCCTGCGCCCTTACCCACCATGCCACTCGCTGGCCCCGAGTTCCTGTGGATGTCACTTCTCATGTGAGACTCCCTTCCTCAGAGGCATGACTTTCAGCTCTATGGGGCCTCTCTTCTAAGTTTCTAAATTATAATGATTCTAACCTCTTCCCTTTATTTCAACTCCAGGGATCATAGCTATTTACTACAGTTGCTACTTCCATGATATCCCAGAGTTATTTTTAAACCTTTTGGTTACCTAGTTAATAATAATATCTATTTAACAATTTTTTTGTAGTACGTTCTTTTTGTTCAGATATTTGGTGTAATTTGTGTCTTCCATTTTGACCTTACATGATACAAGTGTGCATACTTGTCCTTTTAGATGCTGACCAGATGCATCTTATTTATCTTTGTATCTCTACATTGTATCTATGTAGAAGGAGCTTAATAAATATTTGTTCAAGTCATAATGGGTAATCAAGATATACAGCAAAATCCAAATAGAATCATGTCCTAAATTATATTTGCCTGAATACTTATACACATTTTCATGCTTATTTTATGAAAAAATATCCATAGTTAATTAGAATATTTTAAAGTACTTTAGAGTTTCTGAAAGCATTGTGTTAAAATAACTGGTAAGGTGCCAGAAGATGATACAGTGTTTATGTCACTTGACTCCCATATGGCCAACCACAGTTCAAGTCCCAGACCTGGCAGCTTGAAATTCTCTCTGGGTGCATGTGTGTGTGTGCCCCTAAGATCCCAGAAGGAGAATGGAGAAGAAGGGATTGTAATGTGGCCATCCCTCCTTGGGGCTGATTTCTCACTTTCCCTCTCACTGTCTGTCTCTGTCTCTTTCTGGTGAGCACATGCACCCTAAGGCAAAAACCTCTCAAAAATAAATAAATAAATAAATAAATGTTCATTGTTAATGATGTGGCAGTAATTCATTATGCAATGCAGTTAAGATCTTAATTTTTTATATGGACCTATTAGTTTTATTCTGTCTTACGGCCACAGAATAATCCTAACCCTAACCAGTATTCTTTAAAATGTCAACCATAGAGAAAATTGAAGAGAAGAGAGGATGGAAAATAACAAATTATTTCACTTTTGAGAACAAAATTTAATCATTTCTCTCCTCCAGAGACATTATTTAGCATATAAGTTCTTTTTTTTTTTTTAAGTTTATTTACTTAATTTTTCCATAAGTGAGAGAGGGACAGACAACCATAGACAAAGGTAACACCAGCAGGGTCTTCACATGATGATCTACTTTCAGCTTCAGTCAGCTTAGGATCATGGGCACATGTGCGCCCATTGTGTTAAAAGAGGTCTCCAGATGCAAACTAAAACCTTCATATGCAGGTCGGCCTCTTAGAGCACTGCATTACCATTGAGCCGCCATCTGGCCTAAGTTCTAGGTATGATGCTGGTTTGCTGAATATATATTCATTTAGCAAATGTGCCATGCATAGTTTTGATACTTAGGTTTTATCTGTCTGCAAAGTAAACAAGAAGCCATAACCTTATGGAATTAGCATTTTATCAAGGAGAAGACAGGCAATAAGCCACAACTAAATCTGAATAAGTAAATTATATGTTAGAAAGTGGTAAGAGCTAAGGAACAAATAACACTACAAACCATGTTTCTGTGTTTCTTATTGCAGATTGCATTATTAAATAGAATAATCAGGGTAACCAATTATTGAGAGAAGTGAGATTTGAGCAAAAGCAAAAAAAGTGAAGGAATTATAGGAGTTCAAGCTCTAATAGAGGAAGAACATTCTAGTGAGGAAATGGTTAGATCAGAAACTGTAGGACAGTATGCCTGGTGTGTTGAAGGAACAGCCAAAAAGGCCTCTGTGGCTAGAGTAGAGTCAGTGAAGGACGGAGTAATAGGAGTTGATATCTGAGGTAATAGGGACTTAAATATTAGAAGGCCTTGTGGGTCTTGGCAGGGATTCAACGTGTACTGATTGAGATGGGTACCATTGTGGCACAGAGTGCCTGATCTTACTCGTTCAAAGGACCACATCACACTGGTTGATGAGTAAAAAATAGACTTACAGGGGCCAGATGTGGGTACAACAGTAAAATATGACACTCTTCTAGGTTGACCCACATGGAAAGGTTTCAGGTAGATATACGAGGACCTCCCTGAGTATATTGGGCAGAGGTGTGTCCTTGATCTGAGGATGACTGTGGCATTAGGACCTTGTTGGGGATTCTGGCTCATTTGTCTCTCTTATTCATAGAAGAAATAAATAAACTTAAAAAAATTGAAGGGGACAAAGATGGAAGGGAAAAATCCAATAGTTAGGAGGCTGATACAGAATTCCAGGTGAGAGATAATAGTGAATAGTGGGATGGAAAATGGAGGTCGGAGTGCTTAGATACGTTAACAGGTTGTATATGGAGTATGAGGGAGAGAGAAACCAAATTTCTGCCTTCCAAGGGTCAACCACTATTGTGACTTCTAATACTTGTCTTATTTTTGCCTATTGAGGTAATTAATATAAATGGAACCATGCAGTACAAACTCTCTATGCCATGTCTTTTACTCTACATTATGTTTATAGGCTTCATGTCATTACATGTAGTTGTGATTTATTCTCATTGTAATACAGTGTTCCATTTGTGAATATACTGCAATTTATTTATCTGTTCTGTCTGTCTTTAAAAAAAAAAATTGCCAGAGGGTGTATGTACTTGCCGGGGGGGGGGGGGGGGGGGGGGGGCAAGGAAAGGGAGGAAGGGAGAAAGCAAGCCCCCACCCCAAGTTGGGCATGGCCATACCACATTTCTCCATATTATAAGGATTAAATACATGCCTGGCATGTTTTTCAACCCACTGGGGCTGGGATTCAAGTAGGCCTAGCTCTTGATAGGCCCTTAAAATTGATACCTAATTATTATCCTAGTTGAATTTACATTTAAGTTGACTTCGAATATTGAATTTCTTTTCTTTCTTTTTAATTAACAAGGTGGGGAGTTTATTGAAGGAGAGGGGAGGAAAAACAGAGTTCTCAAGAAGAAGGGAGAGGTTCCAGAAAATGGGTCCCCATGGAGGAATTGGGGCAAGGAGTTTTTATCTGGGTCAGAGGGGCCTTGCTCAGGCTTGTTTTCAGCAGGGACTCGCACATGCATTCCCCTTGTGGTGGAGAGGACACATGCTGGATGGGTCCAGGTTATTTTTTAATTTTGGAGTGGGTATGAAGGTGAGGTGATTTTTTGTCTAGGATTTGCCCCATGAAAACCAGTATCTAACCCTCTTCCTGGAATGTGGTGGAGCCTGGGAAAAAAGCCTTCATTTTAGGTCCAGGTCTTTCTACCCAGGAGTCACTGAGACACTGCTGCAAGCCATCTCTCCGGAGCAAGCAGCCGAGCACCTTTGACTCCATCTTAAAACTTAGCCATTTCGTGATGAAAATTGCTTTTTTGGGCAAGTTCTATCTCTCTTTTCCTTATTTCTTTAACAAAAATTTTATGAGAAATGCTGTCACCCCTTTTCTAGGATGATTGTAGAGTTGTTTTGGCAAAACAGGAAATTACAAGGTTACTGGAAACATTGCAGAAACAGCAGCAACAGTTTACAGAGGTTGCAGATCACATTCAATTGGATGCCAGCATTCCTGTCACTTTTACAAAGGTAAGATACTGTAGTTGCTATTTAGTATGTTTTTTTTTTTTCAGGCTTTGATATGTTTTTATTGAAGCAAAATTCTAACAAAAGGGGGTTTTGATTTACAAAATTTTATGTTTGTGGAGACTGCCCACCCACGTGGACCCAAATGAGGATAACTAGTAAGCCTGTTTATGTATTTTCTTGTTTTCAGTTTACATACAAAAGTGATTTTTGTTTTCTTCACATTCGTACAAATCCCAATATTGTAAATGACAAGCCCTCTCTTACCCAACCCTTAATTAAATATACAAACAGTTTCAAAAACATACACTTCAAACTGGTTTAATCTTGAAGTGTAATCCGATGAGACTGAAAACTAAACATTTCAAGCCCTATACCAAATAGTAAAATACTCAGAGGGGGGGGGGGGGGGCGGCAAGGAAAGGGAGGAAGGGAGAAAGCAAGCCCCCACCCCAAGTTGGGCATGGCCATACCACATTTCTCCATATTATAAGGATTAAATACATGCCTGGCATGTTTTTCAACCCACTGGGGCTGGGATTCAAGTAGGCCTAGCTCTTGATAGGCCCTTAAAATTGATACCTAATTATTATCCTAGTTGAATTTACATTTAAGTTGACTTCGAATATTGAATTTCTTTTCTTTCTTTTTAATTAACAAGGTGGGGAGTTTATTGAAGGAGAGGGGAGGAAAAACAGAGTTCTCAAGAAGAAGGGAGAGGTTCCAGAAAATGGGTCCCCATGGAGGAATTGGGGCAAGGAGTTTTTATCTGGGTCAGAGGGGCCTTGCTCAGGCTTGTTTTCAGCAGGGACTCGCACATGCATTCCCCTTGTGGTGGAGAGGACACATGCTGGATGGGTCCAGGTTATTTTTTAATTTTGGAGTGGGTATGAAGGTGAGGTGATTTTTTGTCTAGGATTTGCCCCATGAAAACCAGTATCTAACCCTCTTCCTGGAATGTGGTGGAGCCTGGGAAAAAAGCCTTCATTTTAGGTCCAGGTCTTTCTACCCAGGAGTCACTGAGACACTGCTGCAAGCCATCTCTCCGGAGCAAGCAGCCGAGCACCTTTGACTCCATCTTAAAACTTAGCCATTTCGTGATGAAAATTGCTTTTTTGGGCAAGTTCTATCTCTCTTTTCCTTATTTCTTTAACAAAAATTTTATGAGAAATGCTGTCACCCCTTTTCTAGGATGATTGTAGAGTTGTTTTGGCAAAACAGGAAATTACAAGGTTACTGGAAACATTGCAGAAACAGCAGCAACAGTTTACAGAGGTTGCAGATCACATTCAATTGGATGCCAGCATTCCTGTCACTTTTACAAAGGTAAGATACTGTAGTTGCTATTTAGTATGTTTTTTTTTTTTCAGGCTTTGATATGTTTTTATTGAAGCAAAATTCTAACAAAAGGGGGTTTTGATTTACAAAATTTTATGTTTGTGGAGACTGCCCACCCACGTGGACCCAAATGAGGATAACTAGTAAGCCTGTTTATGTATTTTCTTGTTTTCAGTTTACATACAAAAGTGATTTTTGTTTTCTTCACATTCGTACAAATCCCAATATTGTAAATGACAAGCCCTCTCTTACCCAACCCTTAATTAAATATACAAACAGTTTCAAAAACATACACTTCAAACTGGTTTAATCTTGAAGTGTAATCCGATGAGACTGAAAACTAAACATTTCAAGCCCTATACCAAATAGTAAAATACTCAGGAACCTTTGACTGATTTAGATCAATAAGAGAACCAATTTTTGATGTGGTGAAAGAAATGTGTCCATCTCCAGTTAAAATTTCAAGTTCCTGTTGGCCAGCCCTGTCCGGGGGCGGGGGGGGCACAAAGCATCATCTTCTTTTGTAATTTGACTGTCATCAATAGTTCTCTTCAGTTCTTCCGTTACACTCTTGTGTACATAAGTCTCTTTTCTGATCATGATGTCATTTTTGTAATTACTATTGTTGGCATATCTAAGCTTTCCATCTGGCTAAAACTTGAACTCCAGAAACTTGTGTCCATACTTGCCCTTGTGCCCTATGTAGTAGCACAGGTAGAAATTGCTAGCCATAGCCATGTTTGGCCCCTGGAAACCTGCTGAAAACCCAGCCAACATGCCACGTCTTTAGTATGTTGGTTATTTTTTTTTAGAATTATTTTTATTTAACTTATTTTCCTTCTCTTTTCTTTCCTTTTCTTTTCTTTCCTTTCCTTTCCTTTCCTTTTCTTTTCTTTTCTTTTCTTTTCTTTTCTTTTCTTTTCTTTTCTTTTCTTTTCTTTTCTTTTCTTTCTTTTAATTTGACCAGAGAGGGACAGAGCACACACCAGAGAGAAGGAGGGAAAGTGAGAAAGAAGCTGCCAGGTCGAGGACTCAAACCACGGGCTGCCATGTGGGAGTCCAGCACCCTTAATCCACCTGCCATCCTGGTTTAGTATGTTTTTTGACCAATCAGAATTGCTTTATACTTTGTGATAATCACCTTTAAGAGACAACTAGGAAATTCTTGGATTATAGGATTAAAAAAATTATCAGTGTAAAATAGAATGAATCTTCCTATACCTATCATCTACTTTAACAATTATAAACTTATTTCCTCTCTTTTCCTTACTCTTCCTACCTACATTCCCCTGAATATTTTGAAGCAAATCCTAACATATAATTTCATCCCGGTGTCCTACCATTTCATCAAACAATAATACCTTTATGCTTTATAATAACTTCTTGGCATCTGCCAGTTGGTGTGGTGGTCAAGGTGGCTGGATCCCACATGGTTGATTGTGCCATTTGAGTCTTGAACCCAGTGACTTGAGAAACACGTCAGGTGTGTGTGCTTGTGTGGCCAAAATCCTAAGAGGAGCAACACATGTCAAAACTGCCTGACAACATATTTCTCAGAATGTATCCCCACTGGTAAACAATATATGACTATTTTAGTGTATATTTCCGAAACAAAAGGACTCTTAAAAAACGTAACCAAGATACCATTGCCATACCCAAAAAGTTTAATAATAAATCTTTAATATTTTTGCTAATATTATAGTTACCTAGTTAGTATTCAGATTTCTCAGACTGTTTCCAAAGCTACTTGTTTAACAAGTTTTTTTTTTTTTTTTGAGACAGAATTTAAACAAGGTCTATACTTGGCATTTAGTTGATATATTTAAATCTCTTTTAAATAGGTTCCCCCTGACTTTAAAAGTTTCAGATGTTCTGGGACTAGCAGTTGGCGTAATGGCTATGTTGCTGGACTCCCATGTAGTTGACCGTGGTTCAAGTCCCAGACCCGCTGGCTTAAACTCACATCGGGCCTGTGTGTGTGCGTGCCCAAGATCCCAAGAGCAAAATGGAGGAGAAGGGATTGTGGCATGGCCATCCTCCCTGGGGTGGTGATTTCTCATTTTCTATCTCTGTCTCTGTCTTTCTGTACCCTATAGCAAAAAAAAAAAAAAAAAAAAAAAAGTTTCAGGTGTTCCATTTTGCTTTACCTTTTTATGGACTGTTTTTGTTTAATTTTGTTTTATGATAATATGAAACACTTACCTCGTCCAAAGTCAAGTCCCCAAAGTAAAGTTCCTTCAAAGAAGCCTACCTTCTATCCCTGTCCCCTCTATAGCCTTTTTAAACTCTGTTTTCCATGGAAAATCATGTAAAATGTATTCATAGTTACATTCATCATTTGAAAAAACATAGAGAGATACATTTATATATTATGTTTTCTCCCTGCATTTAAATGTGAGACACCATACAGACTTTTTCTACTCTGTTCTTTTCATTTAACTGTACTTCCTAAAGGTTATTTCATAGCAGTATACAGAGAAAGATTTAAATGTTTTGTTCCTTTTTATAAGTGCAAGGTATCTGATTATGAGGATATACAATTTTAAGTTTGTTCTGTCTCCTTCAAGAGAGACAGGGGCTTAGGGGAGGAGATAAGAGAGAGAGAGAAATAGGCATGCTCATCAGGGTCCTGCCACTGCTGTGATCTGTGTGAGTACACCAGGTATGTCCAGGCAGACCCAGAATTTGAAGCTAGATCTCCCATGTGGCTTCAGCATTACACAGCTTCTGTGTCACATTTTTTATTTTAATTGTGAAAAACTCTTAAAGTATAACATCTTAACCATTTCTTCACTTTGTGATAGATAGCATGTTCATGCATGTGTGTGAGAGAGAACCACGGCGGGGTCTTGTAAGGCCACTATCTCCTTTCCTTTACCTCTCAGCTCTTCAGGATCTTGGGTACCTTCACACTGTCCAGCATGTTTTTAGGCCATCCCAGGGATCTGAACTTGTGGTCAGTCACATGCCATGTAGCCTTGCCCAACACTTGTATTACCACTGTGATGCAATGGCAGAACTCCCTCAACTATCATAAATGTGTATTTCAGTACAGTTAAGTATATCCACATTGTTACGAACATAGATCTTCAGAAAATTTTTCTCTTGTAAAACTGAAACTCTATATTGTATAAATATAGAATGTTTATGGAATATACCAACTACATTTTCCACCTTTTCTTTAGCCTCTAGTAACTGCCATTATATTTTCTGCTTCTATAAATTTGATTAGTTTAAGTATCTTATATGTAGAATTATATTTATTTTTTGTGACTGGCTTATTTCACTTAGCATAATATCCTCAAAGTTCATCCATATTGGGGTCAGAGGGTAGTTTGTGGTTAAGATGCTAGACTCCCACATGGCTGACCATGGTTCAAGTCTTGGTGGCTTTCTTTCTCACTTTCTCCTCTCTGGTGAGCCCATGTGCAAATTTAAATAATAATAATAATAATAAATAGGGACCAACAGATGGTGTAATGGTTATGTCACTGAACTCCCATGTAGTAGACCACAGTTTGAGTCCTGGATTCAGTGGCTTAAAACTCATGCTGGGTGCATATGTGTGTGTGTACTCAAAATCCTGAGAGGAGACTGGAAGAGAAGGGATTGTAGTGTGGCCATGCCCCTAGGGGGTGATTTCTCACTTTCTGTCTCCCTGTTTCTCTCTCTCTCTCTGGCAAGCAAACACGCCCTATTGCAAAAATCTCTAAAATGAATGAATGAATGAATAAATAAATAAATAAATAAATAAATGATCAAATTCAATTATTTTTTTAAAAAGTTCATCTGTACTGTAGCATGTAAGAGTTCCTTCTTTTTAAAGACTGAATAACATTCTGTTGTATATCATAAATATCTATATACTACATTTTGTTTATCCATTCATCTGTCAATAGACACCTGGGTTGCTTCCACCTCTTGGTTGCTTCCACCTCTTGATTATTATCAGTAGTGGTGCTCTCTGAATATGGGTGTACAGATATCACTTTGAGATGTTGCTCTTGGTTTTTGTGGGATACACACTCAGAATTGAAAGTGGTGGATCATATGATAGTTTAGCTTTTTTGTGGAATCACCATACTGTCTTCTGTAGTGGTTACACTATATTAAAATCCCTACTAGTGGTGCATGAGAGTTGTTATTCCTCTGCCTTTTCACTAAGTGTGAAAATGTGGGGTTTTTTTAAGGAATAATTTTATTTAACCTTATTTATTATTATTTTCCAGTGTGATCAGAGAGAGAGAGAGTTAAAAAGCAAGCCTCCAGGTCCGGAACTTGAACTGTGGTCAGCCATGTGGGAGTCCAACGTCCCCAACCACCATGCCACCTGCTGCCCCAAAAATGTGTTTGTTTTTAATTGGTAACTGTTTTGTGTTTGTTTTTAGAAAATGGTCTTCCTAATTGGTATGAGGTGATAAATTATTGTTGATTTGCATTTCAGTCATGATTAGTGATGTTGATCATCTATTCATATGCTTGTTGGCCATTTGTATATCATCTTGCAAATATCTATTCAATTTCTTGCCCACTTTTTGATTGAGATATTTGATTTTTTTGTTGTTGAATTATAGGAGTACTTTATATAAGTGAGAAAGCATCCCCTCAGGGGTAATAGCCGTGCCACAGTCTCTTCTCCTTCATTCTCCTCTCGGTGTTTTGGGCATATGCACTTGGCATGTTTTTCAAGCCGATTGGTTAGGATTCAAACTGCCTTGTCAGCCATATGAATCCAGCTGGCTCAGCCAGCACCAGTATTATAGCTGTGGACTTTTCATAGATAGCCTATATTATGTTGAGTAGTTTCCTTCTATTCTTGGCTTCTTGAATGTTTGATATTGAAATGATATTGACTCGTTTCAAATGAGATGGTCATGGGTTTTTCTCCTTCATTCTTTCTTTTTTTTTGCCACAGGGCATATGCACTTGCCAGAGACAGACAGGGAGAAGGAGAAAGTACCCCCTAATGGAATGTAGTCACACCACAGTCCTTTCTCTTCCATTTCTTTGTCTTGTCAGAATTTGGGGCACATGCACCTGATATTTTTTTCAAGCCACCAGGGTTGGGATTCAAATTATGTAGCTGGCCATGTGGGATTTGGGTCTCTTAACCACCAGGCTATAGAGCTGGCCCCTTCATTCTTTTAATATCGTATATTACATTGAGTGATGTTGAAGGTTGTTGCCTTTTTAAAATGTAAATCCCATGATGTTAAAATTCTTTCAATGTATTGTAGAATTTGCTTTGCTTACATTTTATAGCTTACATCTGTTTTGCACCTTACTGCATTGGGTAGGGGGAAGGGCAGGGATAGACATACAGAATGCCCTGAATTTTATTATTCCTGTTGCCGGAATCCCTTTTTACATTGGCCCGGGTTCTGTAGCCTCTCAATAGGTCTCACAAAGTTCTGGTCCATGTATTGTTTTATTTCTGAGGCTTAGGAGTGTGCTGAAGGTTAGTTATGGTAGCCATCATATAGATGGCAATTGAAGCTTATAGAGTAAATGAAATGCATAGAGTAAGAAGGGGGCCTTATACAGACTCGAGAGTACCAACATTTGAGAGACAGATAGAAGGGAAATGAGAAGAAACACCAAAAAGTGTATAAAATCCTAGGAAAATTTGTGTTATGAGAAACAAGAAACAAGTGTTCAAAGGAGGAAGCAAAATAATAATTGACAACATTTATATGCCAAGAATTATTGTATAGACTTGTATGTGTATCTTTAAAAACTAATTCTGTGGGGCCAGCATTTTGCATAATGGTTAAGGTGCTGGACTCTCACATGGCCAACCGTGGTTCAAGTCCTGGAATCAGCAGCTTTAAGATCATGTTGAGTGTGCCCAAAATCCGTAGAGGAGAATGGAGAAGGGATTGTGATGTGGCCATCCCTCCTGTGGGGTGATTTTCACTTTCCCTCTTTCTGTCTCTGCCTTTCTCTCTCTCTGGTGAGCACACATACCCTATGGCAAAAATTTTTTTTCTTTCTTTTTCTTTTTGGAGAGGTTTTTGCCGGACGGCACTTGCATTTACCAGAAAGACAGAGAGAGACAGAAAGCGAGAAAATACCCCCCCAGCGGGGAGGATGGCCATGCCGCAATCCCTTCTCCTCCAGTTTCCTCTTGGGATCTTGGGCACACATGTACATGCGCCTGGCGTGAGTTTAAGCCACCAGGTCCAGGACTTAAACCATGGTCAACGACTACATGGGAGTCCAGCAACATAGCCATTACACCAACTGCTGGTCCCAATGGCAAAAAAATCTTAAAAAAGTAAAATCTTTGTATGGAGGTGAATGACCTTGTTATTAGGGCAGCTAGATGCCTCACAGCTGACTGATATGCTCCTGGACACAGTGGCTTGAGCAACACACCTGGAACATATCAGGATACTTTCTGTTCTCTTCTGTCTCTTTTTCTGGTGATTGTATGTAATCTCTGGCAAGAAAGAAAAAAAAAATCCTTGCAAGAATCCTATGTAATTAAGTACTATTTATAACCTTATTTTCTAGATAAGAGAAGTGAGGCAAGAAGTCATGCATTAGTAATATATGCACGTGTGTTCATTATAGCATTATTTGAAATATTAAAAAAAATATTAAATTACTTAAAAATCTATAATTTGTGGATTGGTTAAATTTTGGTTTATGGAGTATAATGAAACCGTTAAAAGAAAAAGGTTGGTCTTTATGTATTGAAATGAAAAGATTTAATTAGACAATGTTGAGTGAGAAACATTAGTTGCAATGTGTATAGTTTTAAAATGTTTCTGTTGTTTTTGAAGTATATTTTATTTGGACATGCTGATCAGTGTGTGCATAGTGAAGTGCATGGAGACATAAACATCAAATTATTAACAGTGGATATTTCTGGTAATTTAGCAGTGATTTTCATTTTTAATTTAGCTCTATTTGAGTTTTTTAGTACAGCAAAGAAACATGTTAAAGATTCCATTGACTTGGGGAACCAGCAGTTAGCATAATGGCTATGTCGCTGGACTCCCACGTAGTCGACTGCAGTTCACGTCCCGGACCCGGTGGCTTAAAACTCATGCCAGGCGAGTGTGCATGCGTGCCCAAGATCCCAAGAGGAGAATGGAGGAGAAGGGATTGCGGTGTGACCATCCCCCCTGGGGCGTGATTTCTCGCTTTCTGTCTCTATGTCTCTCTCTGTCTGTCTGGCGAGCGCACGCACCCTGTAGTGAAAACCTCTCAAAAAAAGAAGAAAAAAAAAAGACTCAATTGACTTATAAAATAAGAATACGAAGTAGGTGTGTATATTTAAAAAAAAATATATACAAAAGTAAAGTGGTCAGTTTTACTAAGGAGTGATGTAGCCATGAAAAGAAATACACTCCTTGAGAAGAACAGATTCAGGGGATTTTGAGGAATACAGCTCATATTACAGTGAGTTGAAGAATGAATGGAAGACACAGAAGTAATTAACAAAAGTACTTTATAAAGAGTATAAATGTTGTTACTTTCTAACTCCATGTCAAAAATAAAAACATTTTCAACTATTTAAAATTATAGGACAACAGAGTTCACATTGGACCAAAAATGGAAATTCGAGTTGTTACATTAGGATTAGATGGTGCCGGAAAAACCACTATTTTGTTTAAGTTAAAACAGGATGAGTTCATGCAGCCTATTCCAACAATTGGTAAGTATGAGTGTGTTGCTTATATTTTAATAGACATTTTATAAATAAACTCTACCATAGCTGAGTTCTTGGGGTCTTATTTGATCATGGTCTGTTATGGCGGTGGGCTCTTTTCTGGCTCTAAGACATCAGCAGTTCAGACGGAAAAAAATGCAAGATTCAGTGGCTTTGGGATTGATACATGGACAGTGAATAGTAAGAAGGGACAGAATATTGGTGGGATTGTTGGAAAGATTACAGAGTTGGTGATACTGGCTGAGGGTTGGAGTTGAGGGGGAAGTAGTGGTGCAGATCTGGTAGGTGTTGGCTTTCAAGGCCCAGAGGATCTTGGTGGAGATTTAGAGAGTTAGCAGCTATTAAAGGTATTCATTCTCCATGTAGAAGTGGAGTTGGTTGGACTTTGATAGTATTATTGTATATAGATAATTCCTAAGTTACAGTTAATAAACAGAAGGTTGCTTGTGTTTGATATATTATTATTTACTGTAAACATAAGTACAATATACAAGTAACTTTTTTTTTCTTTGTAAACAGGCTTTAATGTGGAAACTGTAGACTATAAAAATCTAAAATTCACTATTTGGGATGTAGGTGGAAAACACAAATTAAGACCATTGTGGAAACATTATTACCTGAATACTCAAGGTAAGAGTCAAAAATGACATTTTACTTTTTTCAGAGTTTTAAGATGAAAGTTTTCAGTACACTAGTTTATCTAGAAAAACTGATAGCTATGTGTTGATTAATACTTGACTATACATTGAAGTATCAGTGGATAGCTTATTTTTTGAAAAATGAAGATGGGAAGACTGGAATATATGTACCTTTGATTCATTCATGATAAACTATTATAAAAGCTATATTTAGCTTAGCTATGTAGGCAGTTAAAAGTACTTACTGCTCTTAATTTGTATATTATAAATATGGGTGTGATGGCTGGCAATCTAGTAATACAAATTTGAATTTGTGGTCTATGGTTCTGCTGTTCAGTACATCCCATTATCTCTCAAGAGCCTCAGTCCCTCATCTTCATTCACAGATACGTATTTGCACAAGAACCCATATTGGCTTCCTTTTGACCTTTTAAACTGTATTTTATTACATACACTGTATCTAGCTTTTATTCACGTTTGGGCCCTTTGTCTCCTACATCCCACCTTGAAGCCTATGTTCATGACATCTGTTCCGTATGTCATCATACTTTTCATCCAGATGGAAAAGTAGATATTTTTACTTTGGCAACTTTGATACTAAGTTTAGTATGAGACATAATTAAAAGAAAAAATCCAATTTTTAATATGAGGAATGGTTGAAAGTCTGAGAATATTTCTGGAGGGCATACTTTGAAGAGATAAAGATGGTGATTTGTTTTTTAAAAGACTATCTTTTGGTATAGGAAGTCATAGTCAAAGAACAAATAGTTGTGAGATCATGAGTGGTACCTTTTCATTCATTAAGTTAAAAAATATTAATTGATGTAGAGAGCAGTTGTGTTTGAGTAGGAAAAATGTTTTAAATCCTGTTATACATGGAAAAACTAAACCTGAGAATTTTTGCAAACTAGTTGAGACCATACCATTAATGATGCTATGGTTCCTGCCATAATAAGTAGGCTTTATGTGAAAATGGTGATGGTAGACAAACTTTTATGATATAATAATAAAAGCATAAAATATTTGGTTCCTTTACTGAAACTCCAATGACTAATGGAATATTTTTGTGGGATTTCTTTCTTGGGGGGGTAGCTGTTGTATTTGTTGTTGATAGCAGTCATAGAGACAGAATTAGTGAAGCACACAGTGAACTTGCCAAGTTGTTAACAGAAAAAGAACTCCGAGATGCTTTGCTCCTCATTTTTGCCAACAAACAGGTAATGCATTTTTATATCAGAATATTTGTTTTCAGTAGCTTTATGCATCCCATGTCATAAGGCAGCTGAGAAGATTTCAAAAGGGACTCAATTCAAAAGATATTTACAAAATTTCTGGTGCATTGTGAGTATAGTCTATATGGTAAGTGCTGTAGTGGGTATCTAGAAATATATAAAAAAAGAAATATGCCCGTTTATGCTCAGCAGAAACCCCTGTGTATGTAGTGTATGAACACATATTAATACAAAGATAACTGGCATGTAAATTCAATCATATTAACAATGTTAGGAGGGATTAGGGCAGAGGTCATGTCTTATAAAACTTGTTAAATAGTAGGATTTGAGTTGAAATTATTGTAAGAGTTAAATTATGGGTAAGACTTTGAGTAAGAATGTGAAGAAAAATATTATAGGCAGAGAAAATAGCATGAATGTTTTAGGAAGTATCAAGCAGACTCGTATCTGTGGTATAAGTATAGGATATAAAAGAAAATCTAGAATAACAGATGAGGCCACATTGTGAAGGCCTGATAGGCTTGACTGAGAAATTCATATTTTCTGCTATGAGCAAAGAAAACTATCAGAGTAGTCTAAAACCAGAGTAGGGTATGATAAGATTGTATCAGTGTTTTAAGACTGTAATTCTAGGGATAGAATGTAGAGTGAATCAGGGCAAGGTACTAGAAACAGGGAGCTGAAGTAAATTGCTAAAATGCAAGTGAGAGTTAATGAGAACTTGGATTATAGGACTGGAAAGTGGAAGCAGATGGATTTTATGGAGGTAGAATTGTAAAAAAAAAAAATTAGTGACTGAAGGGAAGATAAAGGACTAGGAATAGCTGATGATTCTTAGATCTTGAGCCTAAACTTCTTAGAGAATGAGAATATTTTTTGTTTTGTTTTGGAGAGATTTTTGCTATAGGGTATGTATGCTCGCCAGACAGACAGACAGACAGAAAGCGAGAAATCACCCCCCAGGGGGGATGGTCACGCTGCAATCCCTTCTCCTCCATTCTCCTCTCGGGATCTTGGGCACGCACGCACAAGCGCCCGGTGTGAGTTTAAGCCACCGGGTCCGGGACGCAAACCGCGGTCAACTACGTGGGAATCCAGCGACATAGCCATTACGCTAACTGCTGGTTCCCAGAGAATGAGAATATTTTTAAGTGAAGTAGAATAGAGTAGTGTTACAGGAGGGGAAGAGTAAGATGAATAAAGAATTTTGCCCTTAATTAAAAAAGGGCAATGATATATTTAGCCTTGTGATTGATGACATTCAAATAAGACAGTGTAAAAACCATTTTCACCTATCAGAGTGTTTAAAATGAAAATGTTTCATAATCCTTAGAGACTTACATAAACTGTTAGTGTAGTAATTAAATGTAACATTTTCTTAGAGGGCAATTTGGCAGTACCTGTCAAAGTTTTATATGCATATATCCTTTTTACTCTATAATTATTATTATGATTTTTTTTTTGCGAGAGAGATTTTTGCTATAGGGTGTGTGCTCACCAATGAGACAGAGAAGATAGAAAACGAGAAATCGCCACAGGGGTGATGGCCACGCCTTAATTTTTTTCTCCTCCATTCTCCTCTTGGAATTTTGGGCACGCATACACATATGCCTGGCATGAGTTTTAAGCTGCTTGGTCTGGGACTTGAACTGTGGTCTATATGAGAGTCCAATGATGTAGCTATTATACAACCTGTTGGTCTCCTTACAGTTATATTTCTAGTAGCTTACCTTGTAGGCAAATATCCAAAAGTAGGGCCAGCAGATGGCATGGAGGTTAAGGTGGCTGGCTGTATTTTACATGACTGACTTTGCAGTTTGAGTCCTGGACCTGGTGGCTTGAAAAACATGCTGGGGGTACCAGCAGTTAGTGTAATGGCTATGTCGCTGGACTCCCATGTAGTCAACCATGGTTCGAGTTCTGGACCTGGTGGCTTAAACTCATGCCGGGTGCGTGTGCGTGTGTGCCCAAGATTCCAAGAGGAGAATGGAGAAGGGATTGCAGCGTGGCCATCCCCCCGGAGGGGGATTTCTCACTTTCTATCTCTCTGTCTTTCTGGCGAGCGCATGAGCCCTCTAACAAAAACCTCTAAAAAAAACAAAAAAACACATGCTGGGTGTGTGTGTGTGTGTGTGTGTGTGTGTGCACCTAAAATCCCAAGAGAAGAATGGAAGAGCAGGTTGAGATCAGCAGATGGTGTAATGGCTACATCACTGGACTCCCATGTAGTCAACCCTGGTTCGAGTCCCAGACCTGGTGGCTTAAACTCACACTGGGCACGTGTGCATATGTGCTTAAAATCCCGAGAGGAGAATGCAGGAGAAGAGATTGCGACATGGCCATCCTCCTGGAGGAGTGAGTTCTTTCTGTCTCTCTCTGTCTTTCTGGCAAGTTCATGTGCCCTATAGCAAAACCCTCCCCCGCCCCCCCCCAAAAAAAAAAAAGAATGGAAGGGTAGGGACTGGCGTGTGGCCATCTCCCCTGTGGAGGTGCTTTCTCATTCTGTCCCCACTCCTTCTCTGTCCCTGGCAAGCACATGTGCCCTATAGCAAAAATATAAGAAATCTAAATATCTAAAAGTTATTCTATAATTTTGCAAATATATCAAATGTATACATATATATGTGTGTGTGTGTTGTGTATATATATGTAAATATGGATTTGCAGTAGTATGTAAGTATATGATTTCAGCATAAATATTCAGTACAGGACTAGTTAAATAAATTATGTCACATTCACATATGGAATGCATTTCCAGTATTAAAAATGTGGAAAATCTTGTGCTGAAAATGGAAGGATACCTATCTTCAACATGTATATATATTTAAAAGAAGTACAAGGTATAGAAAGTCTGAGGTGTGTTTCTTTTTGTGCTTATTTGCATGAATGTACATGGAAAAATTGTGTAAAATACATAAGAAGTTGCTTCTGGGAAGTAAGGGATGTTTCCTTCATTATGTAAACCCTTCATATAACCCATTTTTTATGCTGCACATGTATTTCTTTTTAAGATGATGCCTTATAAGAACTTAGGCAGTCTCATTCATTCAGTTTGCATGGCCTTTATTGATTTCATTCTAGGTTACTCTTACAAAATATATGATGGGGGGTGGCAACTGGAAGGTGGTGGCTAAGGCACTGGACTCGCACATAGCTGACCACAGTACAAGTCCTGGACCCGGCAGCTTGAAAATCATGCTGGCACCCAGTGCATAGGTGTCCAAAATCCTGAGAGCAGAATGGAAAACGGATTATGGTGCGGCCATCTCACTTTAGGGGTGATTTCTTCTGTCTGTCTCTGATGAGGTCTCACATTTTTTGGCGAAACAAAACAAAACAACACAATCCCCCAAAATAAAACACACACCGAGGGCATGGAATGGTCTTCAGAATGTTCATGGAAAATACATATTATGAAAAACTTACACATGGATTTCAAATATTTTGCACCAAATAGATTTACTCTATTTTTTTTTTTGGAGAGGTTTTTGCTATAGGGCACGTGCGCTCGCCAGACAGACAGAGAGAGACATAGAGACAGAAAGCGAGAAATCACCCCCCCCAGGGGGATGGTCACGCCACAATCCCTTCTCCTTCATTCTCCTCTCGGGATCTTGGGCACACACGCACATGCGACCTGTGTGTTTTAAGCCACCGGGTCCGGGACGCAAACCGCGGTAGACTACATGGGAGTCCAGCAACATAGCCATTACGCTAACTGCTGGTTCCCTAGATTTACTCTTTAATTCTGTTTTTCTACAAACTTTTAATAGTACCCTTATACATACACATACAAATAGTTTTAACAAAAATGCTTTTTTTTTTTTTTTAAGAAGTTTTTGCTTTAGGGCTTGTGTGCTCACAGGAGAGGGGGCTGGGAATCATCCCCCAGGGGGGTGGTCACACTGCAATCCATTTTCTTCCATCCTTCTCCTGGGATCTTAGGTATGTGCTTCTGGTGTGATTTTTAAGCCACTGGGTCTGAGACTCAAAGTGTGGTCAGCCATGTGGGAATATAGTGATGTAACTGATAGGCCATCTCTTGGCCCTCTCAAATGCGCTATATATATATATAGCACAATATATATATATATATATATTAATTGCTAGAGGGCATGTCCATTTGTCTGAGAAGAATATTTACATGTACTCCCCAGTGGTACATGGTCACACTGTCGCCGTTTTTTCTCAGTTATTCCTTCCTGTCAGGATTTTGGACACACACATAGGCACTCAGTGTGTTTGTTAAGCTTCTGGGGTCGAGATTTGAACTGTGGTCAGACATGAGGGGTCCAGTTCTCTTAACCACTGTGCTATGAGGTTGGCCTCCTATTATTATTAATATCAGAATAATCCTTGAAAAATGATTTTAAGTTTTAGATTTTTCTTAGGTTCTATTTAAACAACAATAATTAGAGCAATGATAGTTTGGATAGACTGAAAAAAATTTTAATATGTATATTTTTTTCAGGATGTTGCTGGTGCACAGTCAGTAGAAGAAATCACTGAACTTCTCAGTCTTCATAAACTATGCTGTGGCCGTAGCTGGTATATTCAGGGCTGTGATGCTCGAAGTGGTATGGGGCTATATGAAGGGCTGGACTGGCTCTCTAGGCAACTTGTGGCTGCTGGAGTGTTGGATGTTGCTTGATTTAAAATGCAGCAATTGTTTAAAATTTTGTTAAGAGTTATTTTGTGCATACTGTGTTGTAAGAAGTTCTATATCTCAAAGGTGACAGTTAATTTAGGATGTATATATAAAAGGAGTCTAAGATTATTGCTTTAAAAATTACTCTGTGGCAAAATTTAAATATTTGAGCAGATTAGACGGGATTAAGTAGACTTCTTGAATATATTCTTTTAAAAAGTACATTTGTTATTTAAGTTTTTTGGATTACATTGACCCATATATTGGGAAAAAAGGAGTCACAGAGAAAAGGGCAAGTGAAGGTTTATTCTTTCAGTGAAAAAAGAAGAGCCAACTGAATGCCTAATGGAATCCCTGTGTGAAGCAAGGAAAATAGAGCTTCTGCTTTAACCTGCCTTTTCACTGAATTTTGGCAGTGTTTAGTAACAGAAATGCAGTTGCTTAATGAAATGGAATTCAAACTGCATCTTTGGGCAATAGGATTATTTTACTTTTATTTTCGGTACAATAGGGCATCTTTAATGCTGAAAACTATAAGCTAAAGAAAATTAGTATTTTATACAGTGTTTTATTAAAACTTTCTCTTAAAGCATTTTGTATAAAATACAGTGAGACAGAATGAAACATTATCTAACTGGCTTGATTGTTAACATTAGTACTAAACTGAGGAACAAATAATAATATAAATGTGAAAATCATTTGATCTCCTTATAAAAGACTTACTTCTAGGACTGAACCTAGGCTCAAATATTATTTTCTAGGTTAGAGCTCTAAATTGGTCCTACTTGTTTCAACTTACTTAAAGTATTTAATAGTGATTCTTTCTAAAATAGTATTGTGTCTATTGGGGAAGTAACTGTAAATAAAACCTAGTAAGTTACACAGAGAAATAGGCCAGCTTGACATAAGAGAGAGACCTGAATAGAAAATTACCATTATCTCAAGAGAAGTCACTACAGTGGAGAATGCTGATTTCTTAATTACTTTGAAATATTTCCTCAAATAAGGGCATTTGTCTTGACAGAAAAATGTAATCAAGGCTTTTCATGATCAGGCCTTAAAAAGTTATTTAAGAGGAAAAACACATCTATAAAAGGAAAAGAAAACATTAAAAACGTTTACATTACATTGATTATGCAGTGTTGTAATAGTTTAAAATTTCATGTTCTTTACTGTTTTTCATTTTTAATGATACTCTTATTATGGAAGCATGGTTTATTATTATTTACATAGCTAGATTGAAATTTTTGTGGGTTTTTTAATGCACATAATATTTTAGGATGAAGTTGAATCTTAAATCTTACTAGCTGAATTGTTAAAAAGAAAATGTCTAATGACAATATGTGACTTTTAGATGGCACTATTTTGGTTCAGTCTTTTCAAATATATTACTGTTTAAAACAATAAAACTTTTAGTACACAAAGCATTAAAAAATAAGCCCATTGATGTTATGGGTGATATGTAAATAAGTAAATATAGTATTTTGTCTTTCATTTTTGAAGTAAAAGGTCATGCTATTACAATGTGTAGTTTGTATAAGTAATTCTTTAGAATTATTTAATATTTGACAGGTTTCAGTAACTGTGAAAAATAATAAAAGTGTTGCATTTGCCTGTGAGCGCTTGAATTGTCTTCTCTGTAAGGTAACAGAATTAAAAAAAAAAAAAGTGTAATGCTAATATTTGAAATTTCCTTGTAAATTAACCTTATTTCACCAATTTTGCTAAACTTTGTAATTTATATTCTAAGTAAATAACTGAATACAATTTAAATCTGTCCTGATTATGGTAATGTGTGTGTTTCTATGTGACTTTTTTTAAAGAAATATTTTTCTCAGGCTCCTGTAAGCTTTGTGGTTGTATTCTTTTACCGATCATTAAAGATTGTGCTGGTTTCCCCTGAGAAATGTCAAATTTAAGATTAAGAGAGATGTTTTAAATACCTTAGGATTTGCTTCCTAGCTCAGAATTTCTGTATTAAGCCTAAATATTATTGTATGGTTTATATAAAGCAGGTTTATTTATCAAGTGTATAACCCTGGTCTATAATTCAAGAATGCTTTATAACCACAACCACCAAAAGGAATTATTTGCACTATATATATTTATATATAATATATATGTAATATATATTATATATGTGTGTGTACATACATATAAATAATATAGCAATAAAATATTAAAATCATTTTGAAGGAGAAGCCCTATCATTTTTTAAAAATCTGTTTTTTAAACCATTTATCTAATAATATTACTGGTAACCAACTTAAAAAGTCATTGTCTGTGCTATGGTTAAGAGAAACAAAACAGAATTGGGTGGAAATTGACTTGTCTGTCAAATTTGAGATATAGTTTATTTGCTGAAAGCAAATTTTATTTATATGTGTGTGTATATATATATATACACACACATAATGTACTTTTTGGGGGGTGCTAGAGGGGTACATGTGCTTACCAGAGACAGAGATGAAAAGTGGGAAAGCATCCACTCTGGGGGGATGGTCATGCCACAGTCTCTTCTCCTGTTTCTCCTTTCAAGATTTTGAGCGCACACGTACCCATACCTAGTGTGTTTTTCAAGTTGCCTGGACTGACACTTGAACTGTGCAATCAGCCATGTAGAATCTAGCCTCGTAAATCACTATGCCACTGCTAGCCCAATGAAAGCAAAAATGTTTTACAAATAGCTTATTCTATTTTTATCATGTAGATCACATTTAAGTAACTACTACAACAGTATTTTACAGAAAGAGCTTAAATTTTACATTGAACAAAGTAAAACTTTAAATTGTTTTTAAAATTTAACCTTGTTTCATAGTATTTTAAATAACCACTTTAGAAAATGGCTTAGAAAACATGGCTGTAACCTATGAAGTAATATTGCTAAGAGAAAGATGTTTTATGTAACAATAGTATAGTTCTCAATCTGCAAAGTGGTAACAGGGAAGATAGCTATATTATTCCCTGAGAAAATAATGAAAAAGGACTAAGGAATAGGTATTATATTATACCTTGATAATAAAATAAAAGATACGCATGTATGTTTTTAGGTCCACTAATTAAGTTAAATTTTTTATATACAGTGAAAAAATTCATTAGTAAAATGTGATTGTAGGTCCAGCAGGTAGTGTGATGGTGAAGATGAAGGATCTCATGGTCAACTTCACAGTTCAAGTCTCAGATCTAGTGGCTTGATAAACGTGCTGGGCAGGTGTGCATGCATGCCCACAATCTGAAGAGGAGAACGGAGGAGAGGGATTGCAGCATTGCAGCATGGCTATCCCTCCTGGGGTGTGACTTCTCACTTTCTCTTTCTCTCTCTATCTCTGGTAAGTATATGCTAAGGCAAAAATCTAAACAAAACAACAACAAAAAAGATTTTAATGCAAAGCACAATGATTGTATTTTGGGCAGAATGAGGCATCATCATCACCACTTGGTGGCAGTATTACCAAAAATTTAAATTAAGTTATAGGAATGAATAAACCTAAGTAGATTTCTAAACACCTAAAATTAAAAAGAAAAGGTAAATATCATAGTAAAAAGTAATTTCATGTCTAACTTTAAGTTCTACTTATAAAAAGGGAGTACAGTTATTAAAGTAGTATGTAAAAAGGGGAGCACAGTTACTAGTTTAAAGTAGAACAATTTGTCATTCTTTCATCACACAAGTTTGCAGTGAACAACAGGTAAAGAAAATAATCCTACTGAACAATAGAAGGAAAAGCATAAGCTTAGATTTAAAGCATAAAAATATGAATTTCCTGAACATGTCTGTTGAGCATGTTCCTCTTAGTTTTGAGAAGTGTCTGTTTGGAAATTAGACAGTGGTTCTTAATCATGAAGTTATAAGAACAACTGAAGAAGAAATGAAATCAGTACAAGACTTTGAACTCATACATATTGTTTTATTGCTCCAGTTTCTATGAAATTCTCCATTATCAGATGCCAAAATTTTTACTGCATGTGTATTTCTTCATAGTGTATTTTCTGAAGTAAGACATACTATAACTTAAAGACAGAAAAAAATAGTTCAGCTACATTAGAAGAAGAATATGAAAATAGGAAATGAATTTACATATAATACTAAGGGCTCAGGTATTCATTTATTCCAATTCTTGGGTTTTAAAGAATATTTCTTGAGTATTAAATAATATAGGTTTACTTAGTACTGCTTACTATTTAATAATGAACAAAATACAAAAACAAAATTTGCTATGAAACAAAAACCTTGTAAAAAAGGAAATCATATGTAAGCCCAAATCCTGGTATTTTTCTTAGAGGAGGGATTTGTCCTCTAAACATGTAAAGGCAAGTTTTAAAAAAGTTAAGGAACAAACATATACCACTCTCATTATTTAATAAATATTTACTATTTGAGTTTCATGATAAATTACTTATAAGGAATGCTATTTGTTTTAGTTTAATCCATTTCAAATTATCACCTCCCTGAATTAGATGTACTGCAAGAAAAATCAAAAGCATTTTTTAAAAAATGGTCTTTAATGAAAAATATAAAAATATAACATTGCATCTTTGAAACATGATTTATATGTTCAAGACTTAAGCTTCCTAATTGTAAAATAATTTTGTATTTAACATACATGGATTTTCATCTGTAAACACAATAAAACAAACATTATATTACTTGACAGTAATATTTATGATGCTGACATCCTCATAGGGTTTATCTGTTTTGGGATTTACTTTAACGTTGGAGATCCTCTGCACAACTTCCATTCCTTTGGTCACTCGTCCAAACACTGTATGCTTATTATCAAGCCAAGGCTATATTAGAGGACAAATGAAAAATCTTGGTAAACCCACATTTCTTAAATCATACTCAGTGACCAAATTAAAGAGAATTTAAATTTATGCTTCATTTTATTCTTTAAAAGAAGTATAAAAATTTCTTAGCAATAAAAACTTAGCTTTAAAAGTTATTCCCAGTTTGTATGAAAATACCTAAGAACAGAGTTTAATGTTTAAAATCTACATCTTTCAGATTAAAGGAAGCGAGCTAGAACATGTTTGATAAAGGTAAGTTATTACACATGACTTAAAGAATTATGGGGGCCACACAGTGGCATAGTGAAAGTAATACAACCAAACCTCCAGAGGAAAGGTCCCTGGTTAACATTCCAGAGCCTCCTTAGGCATGCCAAGTGTGTGCATGCCAGTGGTCCAAACTGGCTAGTCAGAAATGAAGTACCTGTTGGGGTGCCATCTCTCTCTTCCTGTCTCTCATGGAAGAAATAAATGAATAAACATTAAAAATTATGACTAAGGCTTTCTCAGTTCTCTGTAGAAATTTTTACCTAAATAATGAAGAGGCAGAATACTTTAAGCAGAGACCAGCAGATGGCATAATAGTTACTTTTGCTGGACTCCCATGTAGCTGACTGTGGTATAGGTCCTGGACCTGACAGCTTAAAACTCATGCCAGGTGTGTGTGCATGCATCCCCAGTATACTGAGAGGAGAATGGAGAAGGGATTGCTGTGTGGCCACCTCTCCTGGGGGGCAATTTCTTGCTTTCGCTCGCTCTCTCTCTAACAAGTACTCGTGCCCTATAGCAAAAAGTCTCTTAAAAAAATAAGCATGTGCTTTGGCATTTGACAGATAGGAGTTCAAATGCTGAATCTGCTATTTAATCAGCTCTTAGCAAGTTAATCATGTATTTCTGTTTCTTCTATTACTGAAAACTAGGGATACTAGAAGTCTTTTTTAATTTTGTGGACATACACAGAAGTAGAGCTAGATGATCTTATACTATACTCTCTGAAATCTAAAATGCCACTGCTTATGAATGGTATTTTGATTTCAGGTATACAGAAATGGGGGAAATGTCTTAAATCAGGAATTCATATACTCTAACTTTCTATACTAAAGATGAGGAAACAGGCACAGAGAGGTAAAATAAATTTGTTTCATGTTGCATGATGAGTAGTAGCAGAGTTGAGACTTAAAACTCAAGTACCTTGAATCATGGTCCATTGTACTTCATAGTACATCAAAGTATTCTTTTACCAAGTCAAAGTGATTTCTTAATTTCTAAATTTTACAGATTTTCGTTAAGCTTCTTTCACTTTAATATGTTGGCAGATACAAATAATGCGGAAAACAGTGACAAATGCATCTTTTTCTTCAACTGAATTTTATACCATAACCTATGAATCTATAGTTTATAGACAATGATGTACTTACTGTTGGTACTACTGTTATGAAAAACTGGGATCCATTAGTATTCGATCCAGCATTGGCCATGCTGAGTGTGTATGGTCTGTCATGTCGTAATGTTGAGTGAAATTCATCTTCAAATTCTCCTCCCCATATGCTTTCTCCTCCCATACCAGTACCTGTTGGATCTCCTGTCTGAATCATGAAGCCCTTAACAGAGAGTATACAAAAAGTATATTATACTATTTTGTACTATATATGTATTGGAGTTTTATGTATTTATGCCAAGAATGCCTGTACTCAGTGAAATCTCTTAACTTCCTTAACCATCACTGTAAAGTGATTTGGTTAAACCCTTAGTAACTTACTACTTAAATTTAGATGATGTATATTCATTGCTTAACTACCATCTTATACTCAATGACTGAAATAAAATGCAAAGGTCTTTTTATTTGTGGATCTGTACTGTCTAATCTAAAACCAGTTAATATTGTAAGTTTTAGAATCTGCAATATTTTGTGTCTTGTATAACTGTTCTCTTCTTTTCTCCCTCCTTTCCCCCAAATAACTGTGGATTTCCTGGAATGCCAGGAAATTTCTTCAGAATCCTGAGATGTTTTTTTCTTCTTGCCATTGCTGACCAGCTATTAATAATCACAAATTGTATCACTGCTTTATCCACCATATGGAATGTGTTCAACAAAATCCCGGGGCCAAGCCTAGTCTGCTCCTCCTAGTGTAATAATGCTTCTCACAGATCAGATGGCATTGTGACTCTGCTGTGATTTAAAATCTTATCTTCTAAATCTTGACCCTACCTAGCCCTTAGGTGCAGATTACTTTGGTTATTGGTTTTATATCAGCATGACCCCTTTACTCATTATCTTATCCTTTAGTTTAACTGCTGACAAAATATTGCCAGTGTTTCTAGAAAGGTAATCATCTTACTATTCCTGTCCTTAACTCTCAATATTCATGATCATCAATACTGTCTTTAGCTTCTATAGTATACTTTTAAATAATAAACTGCATTATAATAAACTGATAAGTGTGAGAGAAGAGGATTCCTTAGACTCACATCTCTTGTTAATAGCATACTATTCCTTAAAATACATGAAATTTGGGCAACTTACCTTAATTATACGGTGAAATGTATGCCCATTATAATAACCATTTCTGCTGTGAACACAGAAGTTTTCCACTGTCTTAGGACACCTATTAAAAATATAAAACCTGTTCAGAACATCTTAAGACAGTTTTCTTTGAGGTTCTGCTTCCTAATGTTTTCAGTGACTTCTCAATGTTTCAGAAGGACAGTTCTTTTTATAACCTCCTTTAATCCCAGAACAAGCAAGAGTTGAAATGGCATGTAAATAATACTATATTATTATTTAATGTATTTTTAGATTATGACTACTTAATAATATCTTGAGAATATGACTATTTAATAATATCTTGAGTTTGACTGTATTTTGATTCTAAGGTCATTTAGCATTTGAAAAAAAAATTCAACCATAGCACCTTAAGATAGATATATCTTAAGTCAGTTTATGGCATATAGTAGGCTAAGTTCCTGGGAAAAGTAATTTTCTTATAAAAACAACATTACAGGGCTGGCCCCATAGCACAGCAGTTAAAGATAGAGTATAGGGAGCTAGATCCCACATGGCTGACTGTGATTCAAATCCTGGCCCCAGTGGCTTGAAAAACATGTCAAGTGGCATGCACCAAATGCTGATGGGATGGAAATAAAGGAAAATGTACTGTGACCACACCCTGTTGGGGAGTGCTTTCTCTGGCAAGCATATGTGTGCTCGAAAATACAAAAAGGTTAAAAATTAATAAATAAACAAACGTTATGGTACATTGACACATGCCTGTCCAAAGACTTACCCATGAAAAAAATGACATGTAAATTTAATCAACTTTAAATGTCAATCACACTCAAAATACAAACTTTCGCAATAACTTTAAGTTCATGAGGTGATTTCACATGGTACATTATCATGTAATATTAGCTCTAAAAGCTGAGAAGGGGAGGGGCCAGTAGGTGGCTTGGTGCTTAAGGTACTGGATTCCCACATGGCTGATGGCAGTAAAGAGTCCTAGCCCTGGCAGAGGGGACCAGCAGTTAGCGTAATGGCTATGTCGCTGGACTCCCATGTAGTCAACTGCGGTTCGAGTCCTGGACCCGATGGCTTAAAACTCACACCGGGCGTGTATGTGTGCGTGCCCAAGATCCTGAGAGGAGAATGGAGGAGAAGGGATTGCGGCGTTGACCATCCCCCCTGGGGGTGATTTCTCACTTTCTGTCTCTCTGTCTCTTCTATTTTTGGGCACAACCGCGCCCAAAAAAAAAAAAAAAAAAAAAAAAAAAAAAAAAAAAAAAAAAAAAGAAAAGAAAAAAAAAAAACCTCTCCAAAAAAGGGAAAAAAATAAAATAAAATAAAGAGTCCCAGCCTTGGCAGCTTGTTTTCCCACTTTCCCATTCTCTCTCCTTCTCTCTTATAATAATGATTAAAT